AAGTCATAATGGCCTTAAAACAGCAGCAGGTTATGCAAAAGAGGCTCGTATGACCTGCAGAACTGGCAACCGTCATACAGTTATTTATTGACCAGATATCAGTGAACACATGCACGTTAGAGACTCTTTGCCTCAGATTCTCTCTGACATTAAAATACAGACTTAACTTCATCTTAAGAGCACGTTACGTCCTCACGTGGTTTCTTAAAACTTCAGAGAGAGGTGTAAAGATGTGTGTAGTTATAACGTGCTGAACGAGAGACGATATTACATCAGCAGAACAATGACGCGTTAGATTCTGCAGAGCTTCTACATGGACGTGTTTTACTGACTGGCAAACTTGTTAACTTTAAACACTGGCAACAATTAGACTGTCACTCAGCTCTGCAGGGAGTGACTAGATGGTTGATTTGTTGATTGTGTTGCTAAGCATTGTGAACGCACGATGAAGCCTTTACACGGGGCTAAAAAACAACAAAAAGACACTAGATTTGTACTGCACAGGAACAGATACTGTTTACTAGCTTTTTTTTTTTTTTTTTTAAATATATGTTTTATATTACTTTGTATTTTTCCTAAACAGACTCTAGAAAAAGCTCAGAAAGATGTCTACAGTACAATTATGCATAAACATATTAAGGGTTTTCTGTACAACGCACTCAGATCTCAGTACATCTGTGGACAGAACCTTACGGATACAGATGTGCCTTTTCTGCCTTTTCTCTGTAAGCCTCAATTTGAAACGACAAACACAGGAAAACAATAGAAAAAAAAAAAAAAAAGGATTTTATCTTGTGTCCCAGATGCAAAGCAGTTTCATGAATGAATCCTCCAAATCATAGTTTTCAGACCAGCAACATGGCGCCTCCTGTTAGAGCCATTTCTGGCTGTCGAATTCACACTGCCTTTTCACTTGTAGTCTGTGATGATACTCAATAAATGTTTTAAATACTCTCTGTATTCTCCTTTTATTATTGACTGTCTTCATAATGACGTCTGCGATAGTTCATATCTTTAAAGAATAAGGCTGGTTATAACTTTACATACACGTTACTCATTGTCAGTGAATTCATCCCTCTAACTCGCTGGTGTTGTCAGACGGGCCAAAGCCTGATATAGCGTTTCCTCCGTTGTTATCTGAAACCAAATCCACATTGCACTCAGGCGCTGTAGTTTAATTTGAGTAAATCCCACATACATCGCCCTTCCGCTGTTAATATTCTCCAGAGCACCTTAATGTCTAACCAACAAATGCTCTATTTACTCCTGTTTGAGTGCAGTTTACTAAAAACCGCAGTGCCCAGCTGTTAAAAGAAATTACTGGGCCTTTTCTAAATGTATATTTGTATGCCGTTTTCAAAGATTTACACCATAGGCAAGAACCATTGGGACAGATTAAAGAAGCCAGAAAGTAGTTAGAGACAGACGTTGTTGATTTTTGGTCTTTTAATTGGATCTGTTGACATTAATAGAAATATAGAATATTTCCATCCTCCTCCTTTAACTGTTAATTTAATATTTTCAGAGATTAGGCCATCAGTAATTCTATTGCCATTGACCCCCCCCCCCCCACCACGCCTTGTAGCCATAGCCCTATTTGGTCGTATCTGCATGGCTAGCAGTTGTTTTACATTGCCTTATCTTAATTGCTGGGATTCTGTGCTATTTTCATGGCTTTAGCTGGGAACAGCACACATAATCTTCACATAAATTCACATAAGCCCCTTTTTATCACTGTGTGTGTGTGTGTGTGTAATACTGTACAACAATAGTGTGTTATTTCATCAGGAAATAAAGTCTTTAGCATTAATCGGGTTTAAATGCACATCAAAGATACAATTATCCTGAGATTAAGACAATAATACTGAGTCAGACTCTACACCGGGGTAGATTAACTGCCCTGATGTAGGATGTGTCAGGACCAAGGTAAGAGGTGCTGTGTTTCATATTTAAAAAAAAAAAAAAAGAGAAAGAAACATTTTTATGCTTTTGTTTTTAATTTACAAAAGTTATGATTCATTGAAGCATACTTGAGATAATCACAGCATAGGACAATTTTGAGATTTGGCTCAGAAATGTTAAAATATATATGTTAAATGTATATTAAATATTAAAAATATTTTGGCTGCACAATGAAAAATTTTACCTCTAGTAAATCCATACTCCTCATAGGTTTTGAATACAGGACTTGTAACAGCGTATTTTTAAAGTGTAGTTTTTTCTACTTTTACTTAAGTAAGAGATCTAAATATTTCTTCCACGAATTCTCTCTCTCTCTCTATTTGTGGACTTTCAATGTTTCAATGCAACATTAAATAGTAAAGACTTACCACCTGGAATGAAAATTACTCCCCGTCGGGGAATCGAACCCCGGTCTTCCGCGTGACAGGCGGAGATACTGTCCACTATACTAACGAGGAAGTTGAAAATGGTCACATGACACATTGAAGCAGTCAGTGGACAGGTTTCTCACCGGGATATTACAGGTGGTACATTTACTTGTTTAATCCGCAGTGAGGTACATTTCATGCGGCAGTATTTCATGATGACAAAAAGTAGTGCAATAGTATCGTTTATTATTAATATTATTATTGTGGTAAAGGGACTTTTTCTCTCACCTCCACAGAAGAAAACAAAGTCAATTACTCCCCGTCGGGGAATCGAACCCCGGTCTTCCGCGTGACAGGCGGAGATACTGTCCACTATACTAACGAGGAAGTTGTAGACTGTCATGTGACTCATTCAACGAATCAGTGGACAGGTTTCTCACCTGAACTCTCACTTAATCTCAGTTAAATTAATTCTCACTTAATCTGCAGTGAAGTACATTTCATGCGGCAGTATTTCAGGCTGACAAAAAGTAGTGTAATAGTATCAATTATTATTATTATTATTATTATTGTGGTAAAGGGATTTTTTTCTTTTACTTCAACAGAAGTTAAAAAAGTCAAATACTCCCCGTCGGGGAATCGAACCCCGGTCTTCCGCGTGACAGGCGGAGATACTGTCCACTATACTAACGAGGAAGTTGCAGGCCGTCATGTGACTCATTCAACGAATCAGTGGAAAGGTTTCTCATATGAACTTTACCGCTGGTAAATTTACTTGTTTAATCCGCAGTGAGGTACATTTCATGCGGCAGTATTTCAGGCTGACAAAAAGTAGTGTAATAGTATCAATTATTATTATTATTATTATTATTGTGGTAAAGGGATTTTTTTCTTTTACTTCAACAGAAGTTAAAAAAGTCAAATACTCCCCGTCGGGGAATCGAACCCCGGTCTTCCGCGTGACAGGCGGAGATACTGTCCACTATACTAACGAGGAAGTTGTAGACGGTCATGTGACTCATTCAACGAATCAGTGGACAGGTTTCTCACACGAACTTTACAGCTGGTAAATTTACTTGTTTAATCTGCAGTGAATTATTTCATGCGGCAGTATTTCAGGCTGACAAAAAGTAGTGCAATAGTATCAATTATTATTATTATTATTGTGGTAAAGGGATTTTTTTCTTTTACTTCAACAGAAGTTAAAAAAGTCAAATACTCCCCGTCGGGGAATCGAACCCCGGTCTTCCGCGTGACAGGCGGAGATACTGTCCACTATACTAACGAGGAAGTTGTAGGCCGTCATGTGACTCATTCAACGAATCAGTGGAAAGGTTTCTCATATGAACTTTACCGCTGGTAAATTTACTTGTTTAATCCGCAGTGAGGTACATTTCATGCGGAAGTATTTCATGATGACAAAAAGTAGTGCAAAAGTATCGATTATTATTAATATTATTACAGTAAACAGGGACTTTTTCTCTCACCTCCACAGAAGTAAATAAAGTGAAATACTCCCCGTCGGGGAATCGAACCCCGGTCTTCCGCGTGACAGGCGGAGATACTGTCCACTATACTAACGAGGAAGTTGTAAACGGTCATGTGACTCATTCAACGAATCAGTGGACAGGTTTCTCACACGAACTTTACAACTGTTAAATTTACTTGTTTAATCTGCAGTGAAGTACATTTCATGCGGCAGTATTTCAGGCTGACAAAAAGTAGTGCAATAGTATCAATTATCATTATTATTATTATTATCAATGTGGTAAAGGGACTTTTTATTTTTACTTCCACAGAAGTAAACAAAGTCAATCACTCCCCGTCGGGGAATCGAACCCCGGTCTTCCGCGTGACAGGCGGAGATACTGTCCACTATACTAACGAGGAGAGGTGCAGACCGATACGTGAGCATTTCCCGGAATTCCCAGTGGATGTCGGTGTCTTATCAAATTATGTTCACACAAAAGACACAGCTAAAGCTGTATCCACTGCTCGGAGTGGTCATAGGCCGGTCTCTACCTCTCCTCGTTAGTATAGTGGACAGTATCTCCGCCTGTCACGCGGAAGACCGGGGTTCGATTCCCCGACGGGGAGTTTTTGCAGTCGTTTCAGTTCATGAAGGCACCATCGAACGACTTTAACTAACAGTCTGTGAATGCAGCGCGAAGACCGCGTCGTTCTACGTTAGTTGCGTTCGTAGTCACGTGATTCCGTGAACAGAAACAAACATGGCGCCGCGAAATTGAACAAAACTCTTCCGTGAGTGTTTTTAAACTAAAAATTGTTTGATTTATTGTTGTTTTTCAGTTGCTGCTGATCAAATAAATAAACAAGCACATAGTATTTGATTCAATCATACGGTTATTTAAAAATTAAAACGAAAATGCGAATACTATTTGTAATTTTTAGTGTCTCGTATTCAATTTGCTTCTATATGAATCGATGTTTTCGCGCTGTTTTGGCAAATTTTAAACCTAAACAGAAGATATTCGCAGCGACTGACCCTGTTAATATGAGCCGGACTCGTGAGTATTTAATTTCAAATGTCTTCAGTCATCCCGTGCCTCTGACTCAGCTCTTTCTTTTCTACTTTTAACACAGAGGTCAGTTTGTTTTGGGGTCCACACTCGAGCCGCCGGGCAGATGAGAGGAAGAAGAGGACAGGCTTCATCGTCATCGTCAGGTAAACCAGGTAAATACTGCCGAGAGTAGCCGTGGCAAGTGCTCTCTTGTTAGCTTTGCTGCTGTTTGGAAGAAATCCGCCCTGAACTACTTCAGTAAACTCAAGTTGAAGAGTTTGAACGGACAGCACATTTTTGTTGTTCAAACATCAACAAAATATGTAATTTTTTAAGTTTTAAAAACAGTAAGTTGGGCCCAAACATTTGGATATAAGTGTATGTTTTTAAATTTCATTAAACACAGCTGTACATAAGAAATATATATTTATATATATATATGTTAATGAGTATGACTGTACATATCACCTTTTTGTTTGTTTGATTTGTTAGCAATCTGGGAGGGTAGCAGGTCGACATTAAGTTTGTCTGCACTTCTTAATGAAAACAACAGTATTAAATTCCAGGTAAGAACAGCAATAGTACGGCTTAGCTTAAAAAAAAAACAAACAAACTGTAAGGATAATTTGTGCAATTAGCTCATGTAGAAGGTGTCACAGAAGTAATGTTAGTGCCTCTGTTGGTTGAAGGTCCTCAGGAGCAGATCAGGATGCCTCTGAGGAAGCAAACAAACAAGGATGCGAGTGACATTCCCCCTGAAAGCCAGCAGATCGACGAAAGCACACAGGAGCAAGAAGCTGTCGATGACGGAGACGACAAGGTAGGCGACTGTGAATATTAGCTAGAACCAAACTGAGATAAATACAGGTTCAGGTTTATATGTATAAACCCTGGAGTTACAGAGCAGAGCAACACTGTGGCTGAATAAACAAAGCTGTGTCTTGGCCGTCTGAGATTTAACGAGGCTTCGCGTGAACTTGATTAAACTTAAAACTGTTGTTTGTTCTTCCAGGACGAGCTCTCATCATCACTTCTGTTACCGCCAGTAGCGAGACACAAGCGCAGGAGAGAGAGGGAAAGCAAATCTAAAAACAAAGGTACGTAGCACATGACCACGAAGGGTCAACTTTTACCTTCTTTTGTTTTTATTTTGTGCAGGTAAACACAAGAGCAAGATCAGAAACTGTGTCCATGTAACTAGAAATAATTCTGAACTAAGATGATTATTATTATATTATTATACAAATGTTGTTTGTGTGAGTAGAAAACAGCTCGTTGCAGTGTATCGATGTCCAGGCTACTTTTATGTGTCACACCGTCACCACACACGATACTGTGTGTAGAATATTTAGTCAAACATTGTTCAGAAACTGTCTCTGTTGTCGTCAGACATGACAGAGGAGGAAATGATGGACCTGGCCCTGCGTCTGAGTGAACAGGAAGCCAGTGACACGGCGCTCAGACTGCAGCAGGAAGAAGAGGCTGTGATGAAAGCCATTCAGGAGAGTGTGAGTACAGCGCTACTGAGGTTTTCCAAAGCCCCATTCAGATGGTATTTATTTCTCTAGAAGAGTGCTGGTAATTTTAACACTACCTGCTCTCGTCAGTGACATTATCCCATCTGGAGTAATTACAGCCAAGGATCACTGACGTTCAGAGCTCCTGGTGTCATCCTTCTTGTGTTGTTCTTCCTCTCTCGTAGATGGCCGGTCAGAAACAACCGTGCCCTCCTTCCCAGAGTCAGAGCCTGCTCGCCAACGCCGAGGCCTCGCTCAGACTCTGCGCTCGGCGTAAGCTCCTCTACTCGAACGCGAAGAAGGCGTCGGCCGTCGATCAGGGAGCGTCACAGGAGGTCTGCGCGGCTGAGACAGACCTGAACAGAGGTGAGCCTGCTCATGTATGTTGTTAAATATCCTACGGTGCTTCGTAGGTAAAGTTAGATTCAGCTGAAGCACCGCGGCAGGAAAGGAAAAATACATCAAAAGAATTCAGGGAAAATAAATAATTTAGCTTTTGCTGACATGAAACCAAACTGCTGAAAGTCCCATGGATTTGAAAACATGGCATGTTTTATTCCCAGACGCAAAAGGAAGTGGAAATGAAAATAATAACAGGAATAAAAAGCGGAAAAGGAAAGAAGGAAGTCCTCTGCTGGAGATGCCGGATCTGTCCCAGACTCAGAAGATCGACCCTCAGGCTTCACCCTGCAGCTCCGAGGCTCTGTCACTGCATCTGGACTCACCGCAGGTTCGTCTGGAAACATCTGTCACTTTTCTTTACTTCACATTTTACAGAGTTACAACGAATGGTTATTTATGATCACAATGATAATGTAATTGATGACTTTGTTGACGTATATGTGTGTGTTTGTTTTCTCCTCTCTGTGACTCAGAGCTCTGATTCGACCCAGATCGACGACTGTCAGCTCCTTAAATCCCCCGTCTTCCCCTTGACCGGCTGCAGAGCAAAAGTTCAAGTCCCCCGGTTGAGCCAAGACCTGCTGGAGACCTGCAGGTCCTCAGGGTTTGTGTTGTGCTCTCAGGACACCTGGACCTCGACTGAAATATCTGTCCCCGTTCAACTCAAGAGTCCGACGTTTCCCAAAAGCCCCAAAAGCTCCAGTAACCTCACAACCTGTCCTAAAAGTCCTGTCTTCTCGGGGACCGACCAGGGGGACGACGGGGAGACGGAGCTGAATCCTGAGTATCTTAAAAGTCCTGTATTTGGCAGGACTACTCAGCGTGAGGGGTCTCCAAGTGCCTCCAAATCCCACCCAACCTGTGAAAACTCAGGGTTCATGTTCACTTCTCAGGACAGTTTAACTTCCTCTGTGAGGTCCACATCCTGTCGGCCTCAGAGCCCAGTATTCCCCAGAAGCCCCGGTCCTCTCAACAAGCCCGCCCCCCCAGAGAGACCAACAATCTGCAAAAGCCCCGTGTTCTCAGAGACCGACCGAGGACGGACGGAGCAACGTCACGGCTGCTCTACGAGCCCGGTGTTCAGCAGGACTGGACCACGACAGAGGATTCATCTGGACCTGCAGGACAAGCCTGAGGGTCCTTCAGGGATCAGGGATCCTTCTCAGGGTCCGGGGCAGGTGAGTTCAGGTGTCTGTGCAACGGGGGAGGACGTTTCCAGATCCTTCAGTAAAAGTACTAATACCTCACTGTAAAAACACTCTACGACAAGTAAAAGTATGTGAGTATAACCATGGTTTTTAACTTTTATTTATGGCTGGGCCTCAACTGATGAATGGAAATCATTAAACGTGATTATTCATTGTAAAATGTAAGAAAACAGTGAGAAAAGTGGCGTCTTCAGACTTGACAGGAGTTTACTGTGATATAAGATGAGAAGCAGCAGCGAACAGCTGGAACTGTGAAAAATTACCTCAGTTATTAAAATGGTTTAAACTTTCTGACCTTAGAGGAATTCCTTTTACACACTGTTGAATAGTTTAACCTTTAACATATCGTATTTATAAACATCTGTCCAGACATAACATCCAGACATTTGATAAGTTCCTGCTCGTTTCTTCTTCTTCTTCTTCTTTCTGCTTCAGGACAACAAGACTGACCTCAAACCAGACGGCAGTTTGAACAAGATCACCTCATTCCAGTCAGGTACAGTGAAACATCACTCACTCAGGGGTCAGGGGTCACACTAACGCCTACATCGCTGATGTACCAGATCCTGCGTGTTGGTCAGTGGGTCTCTGCTCTTTCCTGACTGTGTCTCCTGGTTTTAGATGAAGCACAGGAGCCGAATGACACGTCTAAAGACTGCAGCTCATCGGAGAGGGAGCTGACCAGTGACATGACGCTGCTGTGGTCGGACGATGACGAGGCCGTCACGGTACAGAGACGCTCTCACTGTCACACAGTTTTAATCCCTCGTCTGGACTGATCTGATTTCTGATTCGACACATTTAATAATACTGATGACTGAACACACATGCTGTCCTGCTGCCTCCAAAATACTCACTACAGCACCAAATGTGAATTAATCCGCCGCTGAAAATAGTCCCCAACAAATGCACTTATTTCCCCCTGTTTGTTTAAGACCTGTCGTGTGTCTAAGCCTTTACCTAGACTCAGCAGTGCGTTCTTAAATGATAAAATGATGTTCAGTGTTGGTTTGGGTTTTTAATATCACCAGACTTTGTCTTTAGGTGCCACTTTTCACATTATAAAACACATTATATCAAATAAATTCAACACTTTACATTAAAAATATAATTAAATCATGTTTTTTTTTTCATATAATCGAGTCATAGTCCTTATTTTATTTACCGCTCAAGCTTCTGAAGAGCAAACACACTTCAGTCGCAATTTCTCAGTAAATCTTTGCCTCCATCTCTTCGTGTATTTTTCTATATTGACTCTTTTTACTGTGTCTTCAGTTACATATCTAGTTAATTCTGTATCTGTTACAGCCGGTCGGCTCTCCCAGCCCCGTCTTCCCAGAGGAGAGACCCGGTCCTCGGGCAGACGGTCCTGCTGCGTCCCCGAACCACGTGACTGCAGCTTCTCCAGGGACAACCAGGTCCAACGGCAGGTGGGGAAAACACCTTCATCGTCATCAAAAGATCAGAGTTTCTTTACTGTGTATCAGGCTGATAATCTGCTCCTGCTACAGTTGGTTTAGTTGTCAGCTGCTTCTGAACTTCGGTGCTGCTGTTCTTACCTGGGATTTAATACAGCTGCTTTAATTAAGAAGCATCTTTAATGTTGACGCTGGCTGGACTGCTGTGTTTCTCCCTCTGTTTGTTTCCAGCCTCAGGTGCGTCTCAGGTCGGAGTCTCGATCAAAGCGGCCCGGATAAACAGATCTCGCCCGGACCTTCTTCCTCTTCCACATCCACCTCCCGACAGCAGCCTTCCACCACAGAGCGAGAACCACGGCCACCCAGCAGCGAGGGGGCGGTCGGCAGGACGTCACCCCCGCCTGGGGAGCCTGCAGACGGGCCGACGGTTCACTACTACTGGGGCGTTCCCTTCTGTCCACGAGGCCTGGACCCAGACACCTACACACAGGTGGTTTGTTTCATCGTATGTAGAAGTAATAAACACGCATTCAGAGTCAGAGTCACGGAGTGGAGTCTAATCTGTGTCTGTCTCTGCTCTCAGGTGATCCTGGCTCAGATGCAGGTGTATGACAGGAGTCTGAAACAGGCTCAGAGGTGTCTGCTGAGGAAGGCGGAGTGGGGGGAGCCCATCCTGCCACAGCCAGAGGTACGATAATCATCCACACACACACGTAACCTGATGTTTCAAAGCAAATCACTGAACAAACAGTACATATATATTTTATTTATTTCTTTCCCAGAAATCCCCCTCACCCGAGCCGACGGTTGAATCACCTCAGCATCACGTTATTCGAAGGTAAAACTCTTCTTCTTCTTCTTCTGAGACAGAGAGAGTTATTCACATGACTCAAAACAACTTGTTTGATCAAACAACATAAGTAGTGTGTCGTCAGCATCCTGTCGATATACTCACACAGGATCCGACACATAAATGTGGAGTAAGAACCTGTTTGTAATCTTGAGTTTCACAGTTTCCGTATGATTTACTCTAAATCAACTGAACTAATACAATAATTACATATTAGAGTGGAGAGAAAAAGTAAATAAGCCCTTTGTAGTTGTCCGTATTTATGTATAAATGTTGTCTTAAAGTATTGTCGGTCAGTAAGTGAAATCCAGATGTGGGCTGCCAGCTGAGATGACTCTGAAGACACAGACAAACAATGATCAGTGATGTAAAAAGAAAGGAAGAAAAAGAAGCAGCTCAGAGATGGTGAACGTCTCGAAAGATAAAATATCCAATAATTAGATAATGTTTTAGTGATTTTATCGTGCATGCTGGCGACTTTTTAAAGTCTGCTTCATCGTGGTGTTTTCCAGTTTGAGCTGGACGCTGCACTCAGAAACAGAAAACACCGTCTCTGTCTGCAGTGACGTCTTTTTGCCACTAGGTGTCAGCAGTCAGTCTGATCACACAGCTGCTTCTGTAGAAACGCCAACTTCAAATGCACAGTCTGGTTTGTTGAGTTCTCTGCCCGGGTTAAACTCGCACCTTTTCAGACGTGGTCTCAAGCTGAGAGGCAACCGACTGCGTGAATCGGCTGACGCCCCTCCTGCTGAGGCAGAGGAGGAGGAAGACGAGAAGGCCGGAGGGGAAGAGGAGGAAAGAGAGAAGGAGAACAAAGTGGAGGAGGAGAAGAATGAGCGGGGAGGAGGTGAAGGAGGACAGATGGACACCGATGACTGTGAGGTTTGTCCAGGTACGGCAAGCGCCTCGCTTTTATTCACATTTATACAACAGGCATTTTTCTACTTTAACTCCAGTTAGTGATTTACTACATTTCCCAGAGTGCACTAGACAACCCTGAGAAAATGTCCATGACCTGATCCACACGTCACTTTCTCTCCTCCTCTCCTGTAGTTGTTTTGTTGTATTGACGTCTCAGCCTTGTGGCCGAAGCTTAATTTTTTTTGATGCATTTTCAAAATAAAAGAGGAGCTCAGGTGGACGACGTGCTTTTGATCTCATATGCTTGTGTTTTTACATGTGATTAACCCTCAGGTCAGCTCCCTGCTCTGTGGTGGAAGTTGTTACTTACAGGTTGAACTGAAACCTTCAGACTCAGGCAGCAGATAATGATCGGACGAGTGTTTTTCTTCTGTTTTTAATAATAGAAACACAACTGAGCGGCGACAGCACGCAAGATCTGACGATGATCACTGACGCTGGAGCCGAGGTGAGTTCATGTGTCCAGTCTCAAAAATACTCCAACTTTATTGGACCCAAGTGATCAGGAAATTCGTGGAAAATCTGTGAATTTTATTTGTTTTTAGTAGAAAAATCAAACTTGACCTCTGTATAATCAAGAGTAGACCGGGTGTTTCTGTAGTTCCCACAACGCCAGCAGAGTGAGACATCTTCTCTCTCTAGTGGATCACTTCATGTCAATTTTACAGGAGTCTTTATTAATCTTTCAATTTATATCTTTAGATTTATTTATATTTGTTTTCCTATCAATAAACACAGGAAGCTACAGCTGTTATACCACTGTTGATGCGTACACATGAAGATCATTAACTCGCTGTCGAGTATCTACAACATAATATAATTAATATGATAAATTAAAATCAAAGGTAAAGTTGGATAAATACAACACTGATAACTGAATATCTGAAGTCCATATAGATATAATGACTGCTAAATATTAGTATCCTATTTGTTGTCAAAGGTTTGAAGTCATGTTAGTTTGACCACCAGAGGGTGCTGACGAGTTTTTACACTGTAAAATGTCTCCTATACGACATATCCTGGTCTCAGTGGTTAAAAGAAATCCTTATCAGAAATGTTTGTTATGTGTTTATGTAAGAAATCAGAAGGTTTTATCAGATTTTAACTATCAAATATCAGTATCGGCCTAATTTAAGATGATCAACTCTGTAGTTTTGAACCAGGACCTTCAGTATTTGGATCAAATAGCTCTTGAAAAATAAGGTGTGTTGACTAAATTCATATTTAATATTGATTTAAATCCATATTTAATTAACACTGGGGTGAAGATGAGCATCAGATCGGACTCGGCATCGACTTAAATCCAGTGTGGAAAAGGAGTCTGATCAGGATCAAGATTAAAAAACAAACCTGATTGTAACATCTGCATCAATTAGTTTGTTAATCAAGTCGCTTTGACTTCACAGAAGGTTTTACCTTCACTGTGTAGAGTGAAACCTGCAGGTTACAATCAGTCCAGACTCATGTACTGATAGATAAAAAGGAGCTGAACGATCAGCTGATTGACAGGAAATTCATTGACAACAATTTAGATAATCGGTAACGGACACGAACAGAAGTCGTAACACGAGCACGGATGAGATGTTTTGTTCAGTAGCCTGAAAGATGTGAAGTGTAGATTTTAATCAACGACCTGACATGTTTTTGTTTTTGTTTTGTTTTTTTGCTTTACCCTGATTAGCACATTAGTGTTTACCTGCCAGGTGGCTTTGATTTCTCCACAGCTCCGACCTGAAAGCCGACATCTCCCTGAGGTCGAGGTGATTCTCCGAGACGATTCTTCGGCCAAAGCCAAGCCACAGGAGGAGGAGGAGGAGATGGAGGTGGATGTGGATGTGGAGGTTGACGGTAAGGCTGCACACTTGCAACAGAAAACCTTTTTTTGGTAGCCGATGCTAGAAACAGATTTCTACAGGTGAAAATACGTGTAAGCAGAAAACCTGTCTTAAACCTGTTTTCAGCTCCAGTGGATGGAAAGACGGAGGGAAACATCGCCATCAGCAGCCAAAAGGAGGAGGTAACGGAGCGCGGGGAGGATCCGGATGTGGAGGAGATAGAGGACAGAGGGCTGAAGAGGTCGACGTCTCCGGAACCGGAATCAGCCGCCGTCCCTCAGAGTCCTGAGACCAACGTGGACTGTCCCATCTGTCAGGGATCGTTCCCCGTGACAAGGATCGAGCTGCACGCGGCGTACTGCGACGGAGAGGTGGCTGTCGTGGACGAGACGAGGCCTGAAGTCGACCGTTTCCTAGGTGAGAGGAACTTCTTCTTTAACACCCGGCCTCCAGTTTCATGGCTGTGAACCAGTTAGCGTCCCATGAGGGAGGAGCTACTGGCAGCTGCAGAGAAGCGACTGGTTTGGTTTTTTTGTAACGGTGACTTTTATGAGCAACGTCTCCTCACAAAGACTCGTCTCCAGTCATGCTAACTAGCTTTCAAAGCTCCTCAGACTGCGGTTTGTCGTTGTGTTGTTTCCTCTTTCTCGCTCCTCCGACAGCATCATATGACAGACAGATGTATGTTGTGTTGACAGCGTCACTGAAGCCACGCAGGAAGAGAACGAGGAGAGGAGAGGTGACGGCTGAAGAGACAATGGACTCCTCCAACACCGATAAGTAAGAAGCTGTGACCCGTCATCTTTACCTGGAGCAGCTCGGGTGTTTCCTGGCAGATTTCTTCTTATTTAATCCGGTTTTGGTCTCACGATTCCCGCAGGAACCAGGAGAAGTGTTACATCTGTCAGAAAGCCATTCCTCTGAGAGACTACAGCCGACACACCGAACTCTGCATCCGACGCCGGCCGTCCAAGACTGAAGCGGTAAGCCTCCTTACACACCGGGTAACGGCACCGCACCCACTTTTTGGTTGAGATCTGTTGTGTTTTTGACGTATAATAACTTTTCCCTTCTACGTTTCTGACCTTCCAGAGAGGAAACCTGCTGTCGGCTCTGGAGCAAACAGAAAGCAGGGACTCAGGTGAGTCCGAGCGTCAAGTTATGATCAAGAAACCTTTTCAGAAACTGAGGAACTTTACCTGCTTTTCAAACGGAGGTTACTGTTACTGCGGTTACTGACACCTTCTTCTTGTTGTTGTTGCTGTTGTTGTTGTTCTGTGTTCACAGAGGCCGGACCGTCTGGATCCAGACTCCAACCAGAGTAAGAGAGCTTAGAAAACAGGATTTATTTTACAGTGCTCGTTTAACCTTTGTGGACATTTTTGATCTGGGAGCGAGACAAAGCTTTCATGTGACTCTTTGTGCATCTCTTTACATTAATCTGACGGTCACGACAACATCTGTCAGACCAACGGTAATAAATTTAATACAATAAAAAACAAAAGACAAAAATAATGAATCTTATAGGTCAAAATAGATAGATGAAATACAGAAACATAACCAATCCAAATAACTAAAATAAGAAAGGTTTGGTGTGTACAAGAGAAAGAGGACGTTTGGGGAAAAAGAACTTCATCCATCTTTCCCATATTTTCATGAATCTCTCCTGTTGCATCCTGATATATAAAGTAATTCTTTCCATCCTGAAGATTTCATGAATCATGTCAGTGTTTTAAACACTTTCTAGTCGTTGTTTTCCAAAATAAATATCCATCCAAAGAAGAAGCATTTTCTAGTGGTGCTTTTGTTGTATTCTGTCGGATTATAATGTTAAAAATAAATCAACTCTTAATCTGAAAGGTAACTGCTGCTGTCAGATAAATGCTAATGAAGTAAAAGTTTAAAGTAGCAGAAACTGTACCTGAGTGCTGCGCGCGAGTACAACGCTCCCGGATTCACGCTGACGTCTACTCTTTCACTTTTAGAGAGGTCATCGACCTGCGGGACGACGACGATGATGAAGAGGTGGGCGCCGTCGCGGCGTTCAGGGTCAGCAACTCTCCCATCAGATCCTTCACTCCGATCTCGGAGGCCAACGACTGCCTTATCGACTTCAAGAAACAGCAACGAGGCAAGAAGCCGAGCCAAAGACGAAGATGAAGAAAAAAGACTGAGAAGACTGCGAACCGGAGCCTTAACTGAAGAACGATCAGGGCGTCAGGACGTGACATCACATCACAGTTAGAAAATGACTGGACGACACCTTCTTCTGGGTATTTGTGCAGGTGAACGAACACAAACTGAACCCTTTGAATCTCACATCTGTCCGGAGTGCAGAGGAAACCTGGTCGTGACTCTTTCTGTGCCACTAAGTGTTTTTGTGTGTTTACGTTTGTTCGTGTCTCAGACTACCTCTTCACGTATCCACGAGTTTCCTCTTTGTTACTGTAGCTTTGCTCTGATTTCCTGAGTGGATGACACACACACACACACACACACACATTTACTGACCTTGTCAGACTGGAAAACGAGAGGTGAAGTCACTGTGGGGATAAAACCACTTTTATCTGAGATATCTCAACAGCTACTGGACGGATGACAGTGACGGTTTTTACAGGCTTTCATGGTCCTCAGAGGATGAATCCTACTGGCTCCCTCTGACTGAATTCAGCCTCATCTGTAACGTGCCGAACATTAGCATGCTGCTAATAATGTGCTCATTTGTTAGCATGCTAATGTTAAATGCTAGAAATTAAATACCAAAATACAGACATCCCAAATTTGAAAATTTACTGTGTAATCAGTATATAAACATTCAACAAACGGTTTCTAACGCACTACAACGTGGCTGTAAGTGAAAGAAGAGCTGCAATGATGGACAGAAAGTTATTTAGCAACTATTTTTCTAAAACAAAAAAGACAAATATTTGCTTGTTTCCAGCTTCTCAGGTGCAAGAATGTGTTGCTTTTCTTTTGTCACACGATAATAAAGCGATTATCTTTGAGCTGTTGGTTCAGACAGGACACGACGTCTGAAGAGGTCACCATGGACTGTGGGAAATTATAACGACCATTTACTGTTTTCTGACATTTTAATTAATTGATTACTCAAACAATCAGCAGATGAATCTTAGTTGCAGCCCTAAAGCAGATATCATATTTAAGTGTTTACTGACGTACAGTATTTGTCACAAATTCTTACTTCACATGAAGATGTTTTTTAAATTATCCCAGCGGTGTGTCGTTCATTATCTGTTCATACAGCTGACATTCACAGGTGGCAAATACATAAATAAACACTTAGATTCACTCACAGCTACATGATAGCGTGTTGTAAACCATATATTACACATTTATATACTGATTATAACCGATTTAAGGGGGTTAATGCAAAATATAAAGTATAAATGGAGTCTGGATCCAGACCTCTGAGTCTGAACCACTGCACGCATATCTGATATCTTACTTTCAGTAATTCAGAGTCAGTTCAATGAAAACTTTGTCGGCCGGATTAGAAATGAGGACGCAGGGCTGCAACTAACTTTGTTAAATTATTTATTATTTAATCTGCTGATATAAATAGTAAAAGTCATAATTTCCTAGAGCCCTGACATCTTCACATGCCTCTTTAAATCCAGCCAACAAATATAAAAAAAAAAAAAGGCAGAAGATTTTCACATTTGAGAAGCTGCATCCAGTGAAACTGACGTTTTCCACCAACGATTAAAATCAGTTCGTAATCATTCATTTACTTTAGGAAAAAGAAACACTTGAAATGTTCATTTAGGCCAAAAGACAGAAAAAAGATTATTTTATTAATCAGTTATTTAGTCTTGAGTTTGCAGCCGTGTGGATCAATGAAAATACAAAAATAATAAAAAATGTAACGTAGAATGTAAAATCTTTTGAAACACCCGAAGAAACTTTTCACCCTCTGTCTCGGAAATCAAAACCTGTTTGTTTGAAAATCCCTCGTCGGACACCTGCCCTTCATCCTCCTCGAGCAAACAGCGCGTGGAAGGGAGTGCAGTGAATCTAAAGCCTGATATCTCTGGATTTCCTCTTCTTCCTCACAGCTCTGTGAGGCAGGTTTGAGTTTCGTGCCGCTGAGAGTTGAACAGCAAAAGAGGTGAACAAAGCCTTAAGATGTTTTTTTGGGGTGGGGAATTTATTTCAAGTTTGTTTTCTGTTCTGAAGTGTTTTCATTGTGGACCATTTTCATAAAGGAAAATATCTTTTCTCCATCTGCTCTCTCGTCTCTGGCCTTGAACAATGTGTCAGCACTTTAGCCTGAAGTTTGCAGGTTGAATTAGCAGAAGTAAAATCTCTGTAAACGCACTGAACGTGCAGGTTCGCATGCTTGTTGTTTTCAGAAATAATGAACTTCAGTTTAATCGTCCTTTTGTCCTTGAGAGAATCTTTCACCACAAAGCCACGGCTGATACAGAGTTTGTCCAACGCGCTGTGTCATTGTGGCGCTGCAAGTTTGAGGTTTGTGTTTCCTGTGAGACTTTGAAGCAATGCAGCGACGTGCTGGTGGTTGTTTTGTAAGACTCTGTCACAATGTTCAGTTGCACCAGCCGAAGCGGAACGGTGGAAACTACATTAAAGAGCAAAGTCTCAGCTTTAATTTGAGCCGGTTTACATCAGTATAGAAAGAACTGTGCGGCAGATAAAGCTCTTTAAACACATAGAGGCCAGCGTTTGGGGCTTCAAAAGTTATTGGACATAATTATGAACGTGCACACGAGCATCAGTGAGGTCCAACGTCATGTCTCAGTGCCACCGTCTGTGGTGGATGAGGTCAGACCAGTCACATTCTCACACTCGAAACTGTGAAAGCCATTTTCCTTTAAGGAGTAACGTTGAAACAGAAAAGAGACATAAACTGTTACATAAAGTTTGAAGCACACTGTTGTCTCTGTGACCTCATCTTCTTCTGCAGCGGTTTAATGGCAGCTGCACAAGCTGTTTATCAACCGGTCAACTCATATTCACACAACAGTTGTGGATACAAACACACGTTTTCTTTTGCCAATTTTCTTGAAATTTGATTAAAATGTGTGTTGAATTTGGATGGAAACTGGGTGTGCTGTAGCTTTAAGATTTCACTTTGAGGGAAAATGTCAATAGGCGGTAAAAGAAAAATAAATAAAACCAAATACAGTAAATAATAGTCATTTAAATAATTTAAACGGTTTGTAAAAGGAAATAAAGATTTATATTTTTCCTTTAACCTTCAGTTTCCAGGAAAAAACCCACATCTTTTTCAGCAGATGGAGTTGATCTGAGCTTGTCCATCTGCTGATGAAGATCATGTGATGTGACTGAAAGTCCAGAATAGCTAATCAAACCACCCTGTGAGATATTTTCTCACCTGTGTTTGCATGATTTAGAGACTAAAATCACGTTGTTGACAAAAAACGCACATTTATTTTAGCTCAATACAATGAAAACTCAATTAGAACCAGATACAGTAAATAACCATGACCTGACCTGTTTGTCCATCAGTCAATATTCAAAATACTCAAAATTAGAACATGTTTTCATAAATATTTGAAGTTAAAAACAAAAAAATCGAAAACTGAAAGTGCTTAAATGAAACTTTGTGCAGACATTCATGATCCCCAGAGGATGAAATGTCATAACTCTGTTCATCCGCTGACTTCTAGTGTATTGTTTATTAGTAGTATTATTATTAGCACACAGGAAGCTTCTGGCCTCATAATTAATCTTTAAAATAATAGTTTTTAAATTGTTCATTTACATCAGTTTTCCAGGTCACATTAATGTATTGTTATTATTATTAATGATATCACAAAGATTATTTATTTACAACTGTGAAGGTCTGACAGATATGTGTTAAAGATGTCAGTAATTTTTTTGTCCCTTGTGGTTTTCCGTCACTGGTAAAAGTGTAATTATAAAACCTATTAAATTTGATTATTTGAGATGTTTAGATAGTTTTGCAGAATAAAACGGTCACGTGGGCAGTGCGTCAAAACATGTGACTATAGTTTTATTAATTTAGCAGCATTAAATTATTTTTAAATCAGCTGTAATGACAATTAATTTAAGGTGAATGTGGTCCTGCCGAGGTTTCCCTCAGCTTCACCATCTCCACAGCCCGGTGTCCTCTCTGAAACGCTCGGCTGTTTTCGGCTGCAGTCGTTAGTGTCCGTTTGTTAACGTGAAATCAGCTGTTTCTATCCGCGCGGCCGCTGCATCCTCCGCGTCTTTCCGCGTCTTTCCGCGTCGTTCCGCGCAGAGAAGCGAACAGCGCGCGTCTCCACATGTTGCGACATTAATCCCGCGTCCTCAGATGAGGTGGGTGTTAAACACTGTCCCGGACTAAGCTCTCTCACTCCGTCTCAGTCAGTGAGGAAGTTGACTGCTGTCAGTTCGAGCAGCGCGGGAAGTAGAGGTGAGTAACTTTACTTTTCTCTGGTTTTGCAGCTTTTTTTTTTTTTTTTAATGTGCAGCCAGTTTTTATTTTTACATTGATCAGCTGTTTGATCATTGTCGAGCTTTTCTTTTCCTCTTCTGTCTGACAAGTTTCAGTGAAGCTTTTAAAAGTAAAACTAGTTCTTATCCTCACTGATTCTTTATTCAGCTCCAGCAATCGGCTCCTACTTTTCACCCTGTGACCCTCAGCTTCCTCTTTAAAAGGCCTCAGAGCGGCCCCTGAACCCCAGATTTGAACCCTCAGCTGCTGTGCTAATAGTTATCTCACACACTGGACTGTAGACGTCACGCCGGCATGTCAGGCGTTTGAACATCTCAGGATCTTTTGTCAGCTCATGAACCGACTGGTCTGGTGTGTTTTCTGTCGCCTTCAGGTAGAGCAGATCCACCTGACATGATCTTTTAAAACTTTTTAAATGGGTCAGACTTGTCAAAAGCCTGTGGCTGCTGCTCCTGTAGGGGCACAGTGAAGAGCCAGACTTGGTTTCAGGTGACAGATCAGATTCTGGATGTGATAATCCTGCACGTTGGAGTTGTTTTAAACCAGTCTGATACTTTAAAAGACTTTGAGTCAGATCTGGGCGAGAAAATAAATAAATTCTTATAAATGAGCCAAAGACCAAACTGTTGCAAACTGTGTCCGTGCTCAGGTGTGTCTGCCCGGGCGTGGCTGAAACACAACCTGTGTGTGCTACATCCAGGTGCGAGAAGAGTGAGTGTTGCGGGTTTTCATTCCAGTGTGATGATGGGGGCAGTATTTAGTCCTGGAAACTTTTCTTTCTTATTGGTTGAGTTCAAAAGGCAGAGTCAAAGAGCCACCAGTCGTTCCTGTAATTTGATCTTAAAGGGACACTCCACCCAAAAATACAACAAAACTTTTTTCCTGAGTGTTGTCATCAGCTGGAGCTTCAGGTGTCACAACCTCCGTGTTTCCTCGGGGGATTTTCAGTGTTGCAGAGATCTGGACTCGTCAAATTAAAAGACTAAAAGTGAAATTTTTGACTGAGGTGAAAGATAAAATATAAAATCCTTCACTTTTAGTCCAACTGACAATTTTATCAAATTTATTTTTGACTTACAAATCAAACAGACATTTTATTTATAATCAGTCTTGTTATTTGTTCACTATTATCTTCCACTCTACCTAAATTTAAACACCAGTCAATTATTAAAGAAAATAACTGTCAGATCTATTAATAATGAGAATAATTGTTGGCGTTCTCATATGATGGAACAACCACAAAATTAACTTAAACAGTCCAGGTCTTAAAACTAGATTTTTACACAGGGTCATCGTCAAGCAGTGTCAGTCAAATTTGCAATTAAAATAAGTAATTTAACCCTTGTGTTTAGTGCTAATTAACAGTAGATCATTAGCACTAAAACGTGTTAATTAGTGCTAATTAGCTAATTTGTTTTGGAAGTATTTTGGTCATAAACCAAAGAATTGACTAGTTAATATTTAATCAAATTTCCTTGCAGTAGCTGTCGAGACATATCAAACATTTTAACCTGCTGGTGGCGCTACAGGAAAAATCAGAGGTTCACCAAAGTTATTAGGATTCTTCCTCTGGGGAAAATTAATATCTGTACAAAATTTCACAATAATCGCTTCTATATTTGTTGAGATATTTAAGTCTGAACCAAGTGGTAAACTGACCTACATTGCTATCTGCTAGCATGCCAAATAGTAATACAGAGGTCAAAATCCTTCATAGCCTGTTAAAGGATAATGGAAAAGATGTAAATTGAGGCTCGACAGCAAATATTGATGAAAGGTGAGATTGCCCACAGCTAGTGAAGATTAACAAATATTTGAGCATCATGACAGACCACAAAGCATCTATAAAATGAGTCAACAGACTACTTCCCATGTGACTTCGACTCTTTATTACTGTCAATATCACATCATCACTGTTTTTTGGTTAATTGAAAGTTTAACTTGTAACTTGCCAAACAGATCATTTATGGACCATGTCGCTGGGTAAGTTGAGCAGGGTCACATGCAAGAGATGGTACAGGAGCATGTTGTAATGTAGTTTTATTTTACTGTTAAGTGTTTGCAGCCAGAAGAAACGTAAGTGTGACAGTAAATTGAGAAATATTTTCACCAACCTGCTCAGAAACTGTTCATATATCAAGGTCTGTGAAACAACGCTTCAAATGAGACACTGCTTTTCCTGTAGCTAACATTTTAGCTTTTTAGCTTTTTCAAAAATACATTATATTGAGCTTTAACTCAATAAATTAGAGGTAGTACTGCAGCTAGAGAAACATATTTTGTGTTTTTGGGATCATGTAACTGATAAACAAAAGTGTTTAGTCTAGCTATACTAGTTTACAGATATTTGGCTGTGTTTATGTTTAGCAGCTAAGCTACACTACCCAGAGATTTTGCTAGCTAGCAAGTCCATTGCTTCGACTGGTCAAATGCTAACAAAATACTTTTTGTTAAAATGCTAACTTTTGTCAGTACTGTAGAACCTAAAAAGATACCAGCTTTAGAATAGAAAACTCTAATATCATGTTCCAGTTTTTAAAATTAAACTTTAACCTCCTGTCATCTACAGCTTCAACATTAGCATCTCACCACACAAGCTACAAGCTAAGCAGTGTGTGTATTTAGCCGTATTTAACCCACACTGTGACTGACTGAGCGCACAGATGAACTACAGAGGACATGTTTATTTTTTACCACAATACAGACTTTCCTGTGGACAAGAATTTTACTTTTGGTACAGTTTAGTTGTAACAGGGACCCTGTGTCTTTCAGTTTTTTTTAGCCATGCTAGCATCATAGCTCATATCAAACAACTCATATCAACAACAGCACACATCAACAACTACTTTATGGATTGCTATGAAATTTTGTACAGACATTCTTGTTCCCCAGAGGATGAACCCCAATGACTCTGAACCCACCTCTAGCGCCACCAGCAGGTCACAATTGTATTATTTTTTTTAGACCTTGGCTTTATGTCACGATGGATATGACAAAATGTTTTTTCTAATTTGGGTGAATTGACGCTTTTAACCTCCTCTGTCCAGATGAGCAACGCAGCGGCAAACGGCAAGAAGCCTAAAATGAGTGGAGAGGCCGCGAAACTGCACGTGGACGGCATCCCTCCGGACAGGCTCAGTAAGGTACGTATCACGTGAAGAGGACATACTTCCTGGGTTGAAACCTTCTGTATGAAGTGACTATTAACATTTTTTTGTTGGGGGAAAAAAAAGTCAAGAGATCACAAAGAGATGCAAAAACGACCACGAAGTCTCTTTCAGACCGGGTGACATACGTAGCAAATAAATAGCAGCTATTTATCAGTATTATTTCATATTTGATTGATTTATTACTATGAATAAACAGTGTATTAATTAATAATGTACACTCTATTACTGCAGAGAACCATCTCAATATGTTCTTTAGATGTCTTTTTGAGATTTTTTAGTGTTAGTTGATAACATTTCCCAACCACATACTACTGTAGTATTTCATGCAGTAAATGATATTTCACACCTCCTCCTGCTCTTGTTGAATAGAACGGATATTATCAGTGTAAAAAGGTTTTTGCTGCCGGAAGGATTTTCAGTAATCAGATGAGTCATGATTTTATTTCCTTAATTTTATAATGGATGACTTCAGTTTTCAGCCTCATAATCTAAAGAAACCACAGCAGGACAGATGGAGGAGTCACAGCCAACCCAACCCAACACTCCTCTTTATTCCCAGAAAACCTCCTGCAGGTTTCTCGTAGTCAAACATGATGCTGGGAGGTTTTTTAAGATGTCACCGCACTCAGTCACTGGTGTGTTCGTGACAAGCAGCATGGTGTATGACAGAAATAATGATGTGATCAGCCACAGATTCGAGCCATTTTATATTCAGCCCCTAGTTTACCGAATTAGATATTAGCAGCTCCTGTTTGCAGTGCAGATGACTACCACTGCAGTCATTTAATACTGAAGAAAACTTAAAAGATGTGATTATCAGGGGAGTTCTGCAAAGTGGATTTATGTTTATTGTTCAGAGATAATGATATCCTCAGGAAGTTTCATTCACTCTGAATGATATCGATATGTTTTATGTCTGTGAGTTCACATGAGGAGCACTTTGAATCCTTAATTCTGCACTTCCCCCTGTAACATTAATCCCATCTGGGCCTGCAACAATTTTTACTTTCATTATCCATTAATCTGTCAATTATTTCTGTGATTATTCCATTATTCTATTGATTGTTTAATCCTTAAAATGCCAGAAAATGGTGAAAAATACTTTAAAAATGCCTAAAACTGTAATTAAATGATCAAAATAGTTGCCAATTAATTTTCTGCTGATTGTCTTACTGATTAATTAACTAATTGTTGCAGCTCTAATCCTGTCTGACTCAGCTGTAGTTTGGCTCAGCTGTGCTTTTAACTCAGACCCACAGCCTTCTTTTAATTTAAAGATTAAACCTTATTTATTGTTGCTCTTAGACATTTACTCAGATATATATCATATGTTGCAGGATGAGCCCTCCCAGTTTAAAATAAGCCTTTTAATAGTTCAGTGTCATGATGCAGGAATGAAGTCGGCCACACCTCCGCTGACGTGAAAGCAGGAATGAGCGTGTACAGGCAGGATTTATTGAGAAACAGAGGGAATAAAAATGAGGCTGAGGGAACAAACACGTCTGTGGAAAAATACTGCAGGTCATGAAAGAGAAGAAGAAGAGGAGGAGGAGGAGGAGGAAGACAAAGAGAGGAGGGGTGTGTGTGTGTGTGTATCAGCACTTTGTCAGTGTCCGCAAACATCCAGACACCAGTCCTGATCCTGATCCTGATCCTGATCCTGATCCTGGTTTTATAATAAGGCTTAATTCAAAGACTACTGGGAAGAATCACACATTAGTGCAATGATAATGATAATGATAATAATAATAATAATAATAATGATAATGCTTAATAAACTTAATTTATGTAGTACATTTCATATGAAAAGCTTAATGGGCGGTGAAGCAGTTAGCTTTGTGTAGACTTGGTTTGTAAAGTTCACAGCTGCCGTGCTCTTAATGTGAGCTGAAGATGTGAAAATCTGAGTTGAATCTCGACTTTTAGGAGGCAGCCATATTGTTTTTCTCGTTTCTGAAGATGCTTTTCGTCTCTTTCTGGTGATTTTTGTCTCTTTGTGGTTGTTTGATCGACTTTCCACCTTCTGCGAGGCACTGCTGACAGACCAGTAATAATCCGATCATCAGATCAAATGACACCTTTACCATTTGTTACACACAGTTTCTCTTTGATAATATCCTCATATAACCATATTTTTCGGCAGCAGGTTGTTGAAACTCGTCTGTCAGACTCTTATAAAGAACGTGTGTGATGGTGAGAGACACCAGCTAAAGAAAACATTCACTGTCACACTCTGTGTATACACACCTGTTGTGGTGTGTTCAGGGACACAGTTTCTGCTCATCCATGTTTCAATGTGTTGAAACTTTGACTTTTCTTATAGTGAAAACATCAGGTGACAAAGATGCAAGGCTAGTGATATCCCATCAGCCTCAGCTGTACTGTACATGTCGTATGTCACATCTGATAAATAAGAAAAAGCAAATATCAGCCCAGCTGTTTTGTTGTTGTAGATTTGGAGATAAATATATAAATTAATTAGTTATTAATAATAATAACTCAATATGAGTGCATTTGGCGCAGAGGCAACATCTGACTGAAGTGTTGTTGTTGTTGTTCCGGCTGCAAACAAACAAAGGTCACAGCGTTTTACAGTAAACAAGGTCAAGAAAAGTTAAGGTTCAGAAAACTGAAACAGAAGTGTTTGTTCCTTTCTCGTCAGTCATCAGTCTTTGTCTCCGCTACATTAATCTGTACAGATACTGCGTGTTGTCTCTGTTCTCATGTATTGTTTTAACTCGCACTGCAACTTTTTATCTGTATGTCCAGAACCTGCTCACGCTGTACGGCTCAGCTGACGGGAGGGCGATGCAGAGGTCACACCGAGCGAAAACACGGAACAAAGTTTATATTAAACTGCAAGTGTGATGTGTCCGCCTGCAGCGAAGCTTAGTTTCATATCACAGTTCAGTCTCAAGGCTGTGGTTTGAGCCGCGAACGTGTCAAATGTGAGTTCACGTTCACCCAAAAGGGAAATTCATTTTGTTCGGGGGGGGGGGGGGGGGGGGGGCAATAAGGACAATACAACAAAGGCAGTCCGTAGAGACAGTCCAGGAAGCAGCACATCATCATCTGGGGGCGATTCGTTTCGTCCCCTGCCCTCACTTACCCTCCGACTAATCTGCTCAGTACCAGTATGACACTAGAAATACTCCTGTGAAGGTACTTCTCCAGGTGGAGCTGCTTTAACTACGTCATAGACATTTTATTGATTTAATCCAGTGGTTCCCGACCGAGGGGGGGGGGGGCCCTCCAAAAGGGTCACCAGATAAATCTGAGGGGTCGTCAGATGATTCGTGGGAGAAGAAAGAAGAAAAAATGAATTCTGATAAACAATTTCTCTCCGTTTTTGGATGTTTCTCTGATTATTGTATAATTTCACCTCTTTGTGCTTCAAACCGTTGAAATAAAACCACGAGAAGTTTATAGAGGAAATCACTTTTGTTGAACTGATAACAACTCAAACAAAAAAAAACTTTACTCTACTCTTTAAAAATATTTATTGAAGTTAAAACAAAACAAAATAATGATTAGAAACATTTAACAACCAAATAAATAAAAGATGGAAAGGAAAAGTGCGTCGCTTGTGCCAGGAAATGTGTTTGCTGGTCTAACATTAGTATAATGCATGCGATGTAGAATCTTACATTGTATGAGACTCTGTCTGGCACAAACTGAGGAGCCGTTCTTCCAGGTCCAGTCTGTCAATTCCAGTAATATATAAGTGAATTAGACCCTTTGCATTGGGGTCCAAACATGGGGGGACACGGGGGACAAAAACTATAACAGGAGTCTGCTGCAGACGACTTTGTGCTCCAGACCCTGATGAACATGTGGAAACAGCCACCACCCGCTGCAGGAGGGGGGGGATGGGGGGTGGTAGAAGCATAGGGGGAGGGGTAGTATAAAACACAACAACGAGAAACACATGGCACTCCGTCCATGACAACATCTTCCTGTGCACAAAGCAACAGTTGCAACACTCTGAACCTCTGACTCACTGCTAATCAGTCAGAATGTGAACCTAAACAAAAATGCAAAAACTTTCCTACGACAGGTTTGTTGTTGAACGTGTAGCTGTGATCGCACCCTGAACGCCCCTCCTGAATGTAGAGACAGTTTGATCATCACAGCCTTCAAAAACCGTGCTGTGTTTTTCCAGCTCTGAAAGAAGCGGGAAAACAGGAAGAGAAATGTGAATAGTTGCTGCCATCTCCAGAGGATCATAACAGGCTGTACCAGCCAGGCCTCTTCCTGCAGACTCTGCCCCTGACACATTTCAGGAGCCTCGCGCTCTGGAGGTCTTTGAATTCATATTGAGCTGCTGTTCCAGCTGCAAACAGCTGGTTAAGGTAGGAGCTGCTCAGAGCCAAGGAATGGTTCAGCACATAACCAACAACCGAATGGTGATAAACAAATGAACAAACATTTGTTTTGACGTTAAACAAAACCAAGCTAGCTGTTTCCCCTCTGTTTCCAGTGTTTATGATATGCTAAGCTAAGCTAACCTTAGCTGTGGGCTATAGCTTCATATTTAATGTGAAGAAATAAGGATATCAACCTGAACATCTGCAACTCTGACTGTGAGGGATTAAGCTTTTCTCACAAAATGTCCAACTGTTCCTTTAATGAACAAATCTAAAATTATATGATCAATATTTGATATATGATCATTAGATATTGTAAAGTTCAGTGTATTGTTAAAATGGTGCAATAAGCTGTGATAGAAGACTGAAAGTCAAAAGACAAACTCATTCTCTCACACTTGTGTTGATATTGTTTGTTATTGCCAAGAACCAGAGCTTTAAATTTGAGTCAAAACATAATTTTTACTCATTTTTTACTCTTCTTTAAAAGCGTCTCCCGGCCCTGCACCCACTGCAGAGGAAACCCCTTTTTTTTCTTTGAGTAATTATCTACTGAAATGAATTTCAGTTCAGTACTTTTACTTGTTATTAACCAAAGAAAGACCAAGAACATCTGGATTCAAGGTCCAGGTCCCACACGCTCTGGCCGTTTGTCAACAAGGGAGAACGACATCAAAAGCCTTTTATCCAGCTTTAAATCCAACTTGATTTTATTGTTTTAAAAAATTAATGACTTGGTTCAGATTACTCCACCTCTTCTGTTCCAGATCCTGCAGAAGTAAAAGCTGCACATATAAACAGTCCACTGCTCATTTCTCATTTTATTCTCATCAGTTTTGTAAAGTAAATGGCCACAAATTCCTAGAATACCACGTGACAAACCGTCTGTTCAGTCTGTTTCTCCATTGATTTATATTTTTCCCTCTCATACCCAACCACAGCCGTAAGTCTAGTCGACTATCCCCAACCACACTGTGAGGAAACACTGGTTTAAACTGGTCGGTGTGTGCAGACTGTGAGGGAACGCTGCCATCTTGTGGATAAAGATGTGAACTCTCTTCTGTCGCCTTCACTGTTTGGTTTTTCATTCATGGCTCAAGTCATGTTTGTGCTTTTTTATGTGACAATCTAAAGCAAAAATATAACAACATTCATATTTATCTGATGACAAGTTTGTTATTTTAATCCAAAGAATAAAAAACATTAAATAAAACAAATAATTTAAGTTAAAAAATTCCAGTCTAATTGCACAGATACATTCATGTCAGGAAGTTCATTTTAAATTACATGTATATTGTTTTCCTGTGCAGGTGGAGAAGTACCTGGAGCTTTTCCATCTGTCCCAGGAGAAGCTGAAGGAGGTTTCTGCTCGGCTGAAGAGGGACCTGATCCGAGGTTTAGGGAAACACTCGCATCACAGGGCGGCCGTCAAGATGCTGCCCACCTTTGTCCGGGCCACGCCAGACGGGACGGGTAAGGACGTTACCTGCTCTCTGAAACATCAGGCAGGAACCAACTAATGTTTTATCATTAACTGAAATACAGTAGGATATATATATATATATATATATATATATATATATATAGTTCCTCTGATTTAAATGTTTTGACTTGAGTTGATTAAATGCACTGCTTAATGATTTTTTAAAGAAACATGATTGTGCATCGTGATTGACAGCTTCTACATGATATCTTGAATACTTTTAAATTTTTACTATGTAAATTATCATTTATATCAAACTCTGGTTGTGTAAACTTCATGTGCAGCAACCTTTTCTCCAAGTTTTATAATCATTTCTGGGAAAAAATGCAGGAGGGTGTTATCTCAAAAGAAACTCAGTGTTCAAGGACAGAACATAGAGACTCTTAGAGACGGGCAATGTGTCTTTGTGTCTTTGTGTGTGTGTGTGTGTGTGTGTGTGTGTGTGTGTGTGTGTGTGTGTGTGTGTGTGTGTGCGTGTGTGTTAGAAACACTTTGTTACACAGATGTACCACGGACAATTGAACGCTACACACAGGACCAGACTTGGGTTGTTGTATCTTGTGGCGTCTTTAACTCCTGTTGCGCAATCTCATTTAACTCCAAAGACATCATCGCTCTCTGCGTTTTATTTTGCCTTTATTCATTTACAGTCTTATACAGAAAGTTCCACAACAGCATCTTGGGTCACAATAAAACTCTAATCCCATGTTTTTATTTCTGCTTCATTTGAACATCAGTCAAACCACTTTTATTCTTTGTTTCATTGATTTTAAATGTGAATAAATTTCTGAAACCAAACGTTTGGCCATCGATCAGCTGATGTTGTTGTTTGTTGTTTGTTCCTCCCGGCAGAGAATGGCGACTACCTGGCGTTGGATCTGGGTGGAACAAACTTCCGTGTGCTTCATGTCCGTGTGGTGGAGGAGCAGCAGAGGGTGCTGAAGATGGACAGCCAGATCTGTGCCATCCCTCAGGAGATCATGCTGGGAACTGGAGAACAGGTGACACATTTATAGTATATATTACATCCCTGTTCATCCAGAGCCGAATAAAATGTTAAATATTTGTGTGAAATCTTGAGTAATGGCTAAAAAGTGTTTGTGATGTCACCGTGACTTTGACTTTTGACCACCAAAATCTTATCAGTTCGTCCTTGAGTCCAAGTGAATGTTTGTGCCAAATTAGATGAAGTTCGGCCAAGGCATTACTGAGATATCGTGTCCACGAGAATGACACCTAAGACAGACCTATCGGAAGTTGACTTGCATTGTGGGTAATGTAGGCACCAGGTTCTGACAAGAAAAGAGGAATGTGTGGAATAAAAAAAGAGGATATCTCTGATTCTGCTGCATCAACAGGCTTTATGACTGCACTATAATCCTCACTGTTTTATTAAACATATAACTTAAAATTGAATTTAATAAAGTAACCTCTTGAAAATATTTTGAATTACAAAAGTTTTACTACTGTTCTAAAAAGTCTCCCAGAGTTAAAAGTAAAAGGGAAGAAGAGGTTTCTGGTGCTGCACAATAAAAACTTTGTAGTACCGAACAGTTGTGAGCTTCCTTTAACTATTTAACTTCTGCGGTGTTACAGATGTTTAAGTGTAAAACATCTGTCTGTCTGTCCAGCTGTTCGACCACATCGCGGCCTGTCTCAGCGAATTCCTCGACTCTCAGGACCTGAAGGGAAAAACTCTCCCCCTGGGCTTCACCTTCTCCTTCCCCTGTGAACAGAAAGAAATCGACAAGGTCTCACACACACACACACACACACACACACACATTTTTTTTCTCTGCAGTAAGTGTTCTTTAAAAACAAACTGGTTATTAAATTTTCACTTTTAAACTTCTGTCTCCACAGAGCATCCTGATCCGCTGGACCAAAGGCTTCAACTGCTCCGGAGTGGAGGGGAGAGACGTCGTGCAGCTGCTGAAAGAAGCCATTCACAGGAGAGGGGTCAGTCTTTATCAAAGACATGGTCAACACAAGATAAAATATGTCACGTTGAGAGGTGAAACCGCGAGTCGGTTAAATGGTTTGTGGGTTGACGGAAAATGAATTCCGCAATGATTTGATTGAAAGTTTTCCTCACCTGGTTCCAGCTTCTCAAATTTTAGAGAGTTTGATGTTTCCCTCTGTTTTAAATCACTGTAAACTGAACATCTTTAAAACAAGATTTTTCACCTTGCGAAATTATAAATAAGATATTTTTCATTATCCTCTGACATTTTATAGAAAAAAGGCTTAACTGATTTATCAAGAGAATAATAGGCTGATCAGTTCATTTTGAAAATAAACATTAATCACCACTGCATCAAACCACTCCGAGAGTCACCACCAGACTAACCCACTAAGAGGCTAAACTAACCTAATCATACCACCTATCCTCCATTTTGCAAGTTATTTTAAGTTAGAAAATAATTCAAAGGTTATTTTCATGAATAATATCAACTGAAATATTCTGCGTATTAAAGCTAGACCCTCATTTTATTTTCGATTGTGCATCAGTGCCAGAGAGTTGTGCAAGTTAATTAAATTGCTACACACTCTGCCCAGTCGGTAAAACTTAACATGTATGAGAATTTTTATATTGTGGTAAAGTATCTGAATCTTCTCTGATGGATTTATCACTGAGTGACTAAGGAGTGACTAGTGAATGACTAATAACATGAAGAAACTGTCTGTCTGTTTTTTACAAAGGAGACTCCTCGGTGTTGTAAGTGTAATTGAGCAAAAGTTCCCGTGTGTCTTTGAAGTGACATTTCTAAATGTGAGTCTGACTCGACGCTGTTTGTGGAGGTTGTTCTCCATCTTCTCCCTCTTTGTTCCCTCTCTCTCTCTCAGGCTCAGATGAAAAGCTCGGTGACACTTTCTCTTTATGAGACGGATGTAGCCTGATGTGTGTGTGTAGGTGTGCAGGTTATTTGGTAGTCAGATTATAAATAGGAAGGACATAAACACACCTGTCTGTCCGTCTCTCTCTATCTCTCTGTCTCTCTCTCTCTCTCGGCAGGACTACGATATAGGCTCGGTTGCCATGGTGAACGACACGGTGGGCACGATGATGAGCTGTGGATACAGGGACCAGAGCTGTGAGATCGGCATGATCATCGGTAACAATACATTTTAATGAGTAAAGAGCTTCAGGACGTCCTCAGATAAGCCCGCTGTGACTCTGACTCTGCTGCCTATGAGTGTTTCACTGCTGGGGGGGGGGGTAATCTGCTGTATAATGTAAACTGTATACAGAGGGGGTGGGGTGGGGGGTGGGGGGAGCTCATTTCCAGGTACAGGACCCCCATAAAATCTGCCCCCCCCCCACCAGAGTCAGAGGGTCAGAGGCAGTTGGCTCATTAGATTTCTGAACAGGCCAGCCAGGAACCTCTGTATGAAGAGACACAAATCACCACAAAGACTCACAAAACAACCACAAAGAGACAAAAACTCCCTGTACAGTGACAATGTGTCTGTGTGGTTATGGTGTTAGATATTCTCTCAGTGTCCACTTTATTAGGAACATCCGGCTAAAACAAACTCAGTCTAATAAAACAGTTGTGTAATAAATAAATAAATCCTCGATGGTGAAAGTTTGTCTCAGAGACGTTGATTCACTGTGTGATCATTTAGGGGGAGGAGGTAGTTTGTACTGCTGTTGACCTGTATTACATCATACAGAGTGACGTTTTTATTATTATTTAACCTTCCCTAACTGATATGATTGGGGTGGACAAAATAATAGTAACCGTCAGTATTACGCAACACAAGTCTCCACTGTGAAAACATTTGTAGCTGATATACCCTTTAAAGGAAACTTTGCAGATACAGTAACTGATATTGTTGGAAACCCACATTACCCAGGAGGCTGTTCTTCTCTCGGGCAGCTTGTCATGGAAAACAGCGTCTTCCGACGTGTAACTGAGCCTTACAGAACATATTATTTCCTCCCTAACAGACATGATGTGTTTTACCTGGTGAACAGCAGAGGCTTCTTGACAGTCTGGCCACATTAAACATAATGAGGATGATGCTGCTATAATTAGTTTGGCTTGAGAGCTCGGTCTCCCTCTGGTAATTACACCACACCTACAGTATGTGTGTCTGCGGGTATTTTACTTCATAATAAAGCGTCGTATTATTTGCCTTTGAGTTACTTTCCTCCACTGGTCACATTAGGTGCTTGTTTAAATTTGTAAATAATCCCACAGCTAGGATTTTTAATTGGTCACTGCTGCCTCACACTGTGTAACCTCAGAGAGATCAGGTCTTATTAGACTGGCAGATACTATATTAATTAGGTATTGATTTGTTTATCAGTGTCTGTGAAATGAATTAACCACAGTTCCTGATTAACAATGAAGCAGCACAGACTAGTGTGTTAATCCATACTTTATATTTGAGCTTATTTTCGTTTATACGGTTAATTATCTTTACACAATTATTGTTTACATATTTACAAGTATAAATGAATTGACATCTGCATCTTTAAAAACAGTTATAGTAACCCTTCTGAATCAATCTCTGTAGTTTTCCTCAGGCTAAGTCCTTCTAGCCTCTGATTGGATAGTTTTGCAACATGTGACTTGGAAACAGGAAGCGCTGTTGTTGTAAAGCAGATTGGAATGTGGAGAAAAGTAAAACTGCTGCTTAAAAAGTGAATCCGTCTCCATCCAGCTGTCTCTTCATAATAGTTATTAATCATCACACCCACATGTCATCCACAGAGTGGATGCTAAGCTAACTTCCAAGCACATCATTGTAACATAAATATTCTTATAGTCTTATTTAAGATCTGTGAAAGAATATGTAGAATATGTCACTTTCAGGTTGGACCCCAGGCCAAGATGGCAGCTGAGAGCTGAAAACAGTCTGTGTACAAATGAAATCTAATCATCTTCATCTCCTGTCGTGCTTCTCTTCCTCTTCAGGCACGGGAACCAACGCCTGCTACATGGAGGAGATGAAGAACGTGAAGCGGGTGGAGGGCGAGGCCGGGCGCATGTGCATCAACACAGAGTGGGGCGGCTTCGGAGACGACGGCTCCCTGAGGGACATCCAGACGGAGTTTGACGTGGTGGTGGACCAGACGTCCATCAACCCCGGCGTCCACACGTACGTATGACAATCTTTAGTCTAATCAAACAATTTGTCAATACATTTCCACAGAATATTGACATAAAGTATTATCCGGTTCCAGCTTCTAAGATATAAGGATTTGCTGCTTCCTCCATTTTCAAATGAGCAGCTCTTCACACAGAGAACCTCAGAGGTCCACTTTAAAATACAAAGATGTGGCTCTGGAGGAGATTTAAATTACAGAGGGGAGCATCCAGTCCATAAAAAAAAACTGGAGGTCATTATGGCTGTAATTATTACTGGGGTGGGGGTGAAAAATTACCAGGAAGTTGACAGGAAGTCCCTGACCAGAGCAGGTGATGCTCAAATCACCTCACCTCTTCTAGAGACATAAATAAAGTCTGAATGGGGCTTTGGAGTCTACCTGCTTGAGCTAACATGCTAACAGCCACATGCTAACACGCTCACAGCGACAATGTTGAAAGCAGGAGTAATGTTTACCACTGTCACCATCTTAGTTTAGTGTGTGTTAGCATGCTAACATGCTCGCAGTGACAATGCTAAACGCAGGAGTAATGTCACATCTTAGTTTAGCGTGTGTTAGCATCCATATACACAAAGTCCTGCTGCAGATAATTGGTCATAAAATGTTAAAATGTCGACCTCCTGGTGGCGCTAGAGGAGGAGTCAGAGGCTCCAGAGTCAGTAGGATAGAGATGATGAATATCTGCACAAAACTTCATCACAATTCATCTGATAGTCGTTGAGATATTTGCGTCTGGATCAAAGTGGTGAACCGACCGACCGACCGACAGCAGCGTGTGATACCAGATTTTAGGTTTCGACACATTCACAGTCGGGGTCCTCTTCTGATGAACGGCTCAGAAAACACTTCCAGTAAAAGAAAATCAAAAAGGAAAACATAAAAGAGCTGCAAGAGTTCCCTCTGAATAAACAGCGAAACTACAAAGTGTTTCAGATATTTACTTCTGTTTTTAAAGACTGATTTTTTTATGAAGGTCTCGCCCACTTTTTTGTGATCAAACTAAACATGGACAAATTCCCAGATTCAGTCCCAAGGCATATCACTAACATGTACCAGCCTCTCAGTGTTTTATTATTTCATAATTCAAACTGGAGGCGCCACATGCTCACATCTCCCCACTTTGTTTTTCTTTCTTTTTTTTTAATCAGCATTAACAGCAATGAGGAAGAATATACAAGATCTGTAAATCTAAATACTTTAACATAGCTACTACTTTGGGACAAGGCATGGTCGAAAACTCAAAATGTGAGTTTATTACTTTGTGGATTTCAAATGAGGATAGCATTGCACGTACTGTGTGTTCTGTATTTCAAGGTCAGCAGAAAAGTGTGTATTTTATATGTTTAATATACAAATGGCGCACTCGGTTGTAATACAAATAAAAGCCGGGTCGGAAGATTCTTTTATTAATTACAAAACAATAGTTGCACTTATAATCCTCTAAATGCATTTGGAGCTGATAAGTTGCTAATACTTTTGAGCCCTGCATTTCTGTGATGTAGTTTGTTTTGGTTAATGAGCAGCTTGTTTCGCATGTAAACAAATTGTTGACACCAGCGTCCAAACAGCGGCTAAATTCATTCATCTCTTAAGAAACTTAGAGCCGCTCTAAACAACGCTCGATTTCTGCTGCAGCTTCGAGAAGATGATCAGCGGCATGTATTTGGGAGAAATCGTTCGACTGCTGCTGGTGAGGCTGACGGAGGACAAGCTGCTGTTTAACGGACAGACGTCGGAGGCGCTGCTGACCCCGGGCAGTTTCGAGACCAAGTTCATCTCTGAGATCGAGGAGTGAGTGTTTGTCTTTTGTTTCATCTGGAGGCTTCAAAGTCGTGGTGATTTAGATCACAATAGCAGACACCTGTAACTGGTTCGTATCACATTTTGAACACACTAGCTTAAAGGATACAGAATGACAGAAATGTCAAAAAATGTTACAACCGTCCCATTTTCTTTGTAAATACTGTGTAATACAGTAGACACAAAACTGAAATTTGGGAATAAATGGTGCTAATCACAGGAGATAAATATCGCACTCATCTCATGAAAACCTGCGCTGCTCCTCTCTAGCAACAGGAAGAGAACCACATCCTATCATTTTCATCTCTAAAGGTCTTCTGCCACAGCAAATCACTTCTCCTCTTACATTTAACACCACGGCTCACCAGAGCAGATGTCAGGCCTCATTAACTCTAGTTACCCCTCGGGTAAAGCCTGAACCTGGGCAGACGGCCTTCCACCACTTGTATCTTCCACATGGAGGATTTTAAAACCTTAACGTCTCCCCTCTGCTGTACTTGGAGATTATCTGATTAAATGAAGGTTATATTATATCTATATGTCTGTGTCTCTGGTTCAGGGAGGACACCGGTCTGGAAAATGGCCAGAACATTCTGACCAAGTTGGGTGTGAAGTGCGATCCGGTCGACGTACGCGTGGTGCGTCTGGTCTGCGACACCATTTCCTCGCGCTCCGCCCGTCTCTGCGCCGCCGCCCTGGGAACCATCGCCAACCGAATCCGTGTCAACCGTGGGCTGGATCACCTGAAGACCACCGTGGGAGTGGACGGGACCGTCTACAGAAAACACCCCAAGTAAGAGGGAATACGTGGGGAAAGGAAAGATGTTCGGTTTAATGTGATTGGTTAATGTAGGAATTTGGAGGGTCAGAGCACGAATGACCTGGAGAAACACCCGGTGACTGTGAAACAGTTACAAAAAAAAAACATTTTTATATCTAGATTTTATAGGTTTCTAAAAAAAGCCAAACTCTCTATGAGCCAGACATTGGAGGAAACAACCAAACCTATTGAACCAGGAGGAATTCTTGGTTTTTACAAGTTAATTTTGGGGGAGACGACAAATCTTATTCATCTGTCTTTGTGAACAGGCAGGAGACGGCGCTGGGTGTTGACACATTAACACACTTCCTGCCTTTGTGAGGAGAACAGCTTGTTGAGAAAAATAAAATTCCCGTCACTTCTCTTTCCTACAATATCGTTTCCTTTCATGTGTGATGACAATTAACACATTTTTGCAGCGGATGTTGCTTTCTTTTTTTCTTTTTTTTTAATCAGCTGCAACACACATATCTGCTCTGTTAATCACCTGCCCTGAAAGTATCAGACACCAAACGGGAGAAATTTGTGTTTCATATCTTTTGGTGTCATGATAGCGCCCCCTATGTTCGCTTTAATTGGATGGTACACTGTGAGGTAGATGTCTACAAAGATGGAGAACTTACTTTGAAACAGCCAATCAACTGTAACATGGATCAAAACACAGACACGCCCCCTCTACCTGCTGTCAATCAATCACAGACACGCCCCCTCTACCTGCTGTCAATCAATCACAGACACGCCCCCTCTACCTGCTGTCAATCAATCAGAGACACGCCCCCTCCACCTGGCTGAGCGTGACTTCATTTTCCTCTGATACTGGAAGTGACTTTGAAATATATTCTACTCCTAACATTTATTTATATATTTACTTTTCTTTGTCTTTCCAATTTTTCCTTCCCCCCCCCCCCCACCACTGTAGTTTCAGCGAGGAGCTCCAGGATACGGTGCGCCTCCTCGTCCCCAAGTGTAGCATCACCTTCCTCGTCTCGGAGGACGGCAGTGGGAAGGGCGCTGCCATGGTAACGGCTGTGGCTCAGCGGCTGGCTCTCCAGTCCAGGCTGTTAGAGGACAGTGACGGTGAGGATGAGGAGGTGGAGGAGGACGAGGAGGAGGAAGATAAATAAGAGTAGAGAGGATTCAGATGATCCACAACACTCAGAGGCAGAGCACATGGAAGTTTAGCCTTCAAACATGGAGTTTGAAACATTATTTTGTTTTTAAAGCCTGAAATATTTTCTTACTGTTATGATTTTTAATATAATGAACAATGAGAGAAGTTCTCTGTTACATTCAAAATTGTACTTTACTACTTTATTCAGGAGATAAAATCACTTTGCAAGTTAAGTTTGTATATGAAATAAAACGTGATCACTTTCAAAATGCAGCTTAGAACAAATCAATATTGTGGTGAAAGATATTCTGTGATAAGTGAATGTACTGTATTGAAATTTACTTTAATAAAAGTAGAAAATTATTATCAAAAAATATAATTCAAGTACCATCAAGTGGAAATATTAAATCCAGAATGACCCTTTTAAAATATTATATATTATATCATTGGATTATATTACTGTGTGAATTGCTTTAATTTGGCAGCTTTATATAGAGTTTGGTGGATCGAAATTTCAAAGTTCTATCTCAACTTAAAATTTTGATGTAGCCTACTTATTATTAACTTGAGTTTTTTCTGATGTTTGGTACTTAATGCTTCTGCTCCACTAAATTTCTGAGGCAAATATCGTACTTTATACTTCACAATATCTGTCAGACATACTCTGTATAGTTACTAGTTACTAGTTTTTACAGATTAAACTACCCAGAAATATATGAAATAAATCAAACTACCTTCTCCTCCAGCAGCTACAACATGAAAATGCCATGTAAACATTACAATGAAAGACTGATACCCCTCTCACTCTGCTGTGTAATGAATATTTTTACATTTTGTTTACAACATGTATGTTCTCTTACTTATGTCACTTTTTGAATTCAGTACAGTATTTTTTCAGTACAGTATTTCAAGTTTTACTTCAATAAAATCTGAATATCTCTTCCACCACATAAAACATTGATGAGTATATTGAGTGTTATTAATCTGCAAAGTAGCTAAAATTACCAAATACATGTGGTGGACTGTACTGTAACCCCATCTTTTAGAGGTTCATATGCTACTAAAACACTTATGTTGTGGGGACAATGTTATCGCCGGCTGGATTATGTTTTTTTGCTCTTGCTACATAGCTAACGTTAGCATTAACAGCTGTTTACTTACCAGTGTAGAAGAAACATTGTGAGTTCAGCATCAAACTTAATTCCTTTACTCACCGAGAGCTGTCTCCAGAGGTGGAAAACACACCAATGTTAACTTTTGTCTCTATCACGTCTTTTCTTCTACTGAAGTTAGCGTGCTAACCAGCTAGCATAGGCCTACCTCATTGCTTTCTGATAGCGACTCACTGTAGCCTCCAATCAGCCCTGAAGAAGTAGCGCTGCTCAGAGGACGTATTGTAACCTCTGTATCAATGTATTTATGACTTCACAAATAGATCTCACAATAAATCAACATTTCCTCGTTACGTTAAAGGAGCTATTTGTAAGGTTTTGCTATTGCTACATTGCCAACATTAGCATTAACAGCAGTTTACTTACAAGTCTTGCCAAGAGCTTCAGCCATCGTTGTGTTTACAATAAAAGAGGTTAGAATATGTCTTCAGAGCAGCTACTTCTTCATGGCAGCCTGGACGCTACAGTGACTGGATGGGCTGACTGGGCTGGGGCTAGCTGGTTAGCATGCTAACTTAAGTAGAAGAAAAGAAGTGATAGAAATAGAAGCAAAACAAGAGGGTTGCTTTCCAGCGCTGGGCGAGTAAAGGGATGAAGTTTCATGCTGAACTTACAACGTTTCTTCTAGACTGGTAAGTAAACAGCTAATGCTAACATTAGCTCTGTAGCAATAGCAAAACTTACAAATACCTTAGGTTACTGTTCCCTCAAAAACATATTTTAGTTGTAAGTTTGAAAATTGTCCTTGTTGTTCTAACATAAACACGCAGTAGTTCTTAACATGCATCTTAGCAGGTACACATTAGCATACTAATGCTAGCAGCCAACCCAGAGCTCACTGCGGCTTTAATCACAGTTTGTTGCTCATGTTGAACATTTCAACTATCTTAATCATCTGTTTGTTGTATCTTATATATGAGAAATGATGAAATAATGAATCAGACAGAGGGGGAGAGGAGCAGAGGAAGAGGAGGGGGTGATTCACTGATGAGCCATTAGAGACGTACTGGAAAAAACTTCATCACTTGATTCAACCTCGTCACCACGGCTGTCTTTTAGTTTTTAAAATCAATAAATCTTTTACTGCTTCTGTTTTAATTAAAGGGACTTGATTGTCAGTGGTGATACTGATGAATGGATATTAGTTTACGTTACTTTAGATACAAGTTGTTTTTTTGTTCGTTTGTTAATCTCTTTGAATAAATTTCAATTTTAGAGGCACAAAACACTGTGCTATATTCATCCAACAAAACCCTCCAAGACCATGAGTTGGTGTTATGTTAATTATGGCATTCTCTCCCTGTTTTTGATGTTCTGTCTGTTTTCATGAGAAGCATTTGGTGTGTGTAATATCTGAAGCACTTTGAGCTGCGTTTCTTGTGTAAAAGGTGCTATACAAATAAAGTTTTATTGACTGTTATAATTATTAATAAGCACTAAGTGGTTTGACAGTGCTTCCTGGCCTGATCATCCTTCATTTATTTTATATCTGGGTGAAAATATCATCAATAAGCTTCAGTTCAGCAGAATTTTAATAAAGCTAAGAGATGTGGAACTGGCATAACAATATTTCAGTGACGCAGGTACAGTATATGCAGTGTGTTGTTCACTGCAGACAAGCCAGTCTGTGCTGTGTTGCTGCAGCTCTCACTGACATGCAGAGGACGAATGGGAGCTGCAGCCTGAAGCCTGTGTGAGTGTTTTTTTTTCCCTACACCTCCGTGCTGCTGCAGACAGTCTGCTGCAGCCTGCTCCCGCCACACAGGGGGGTAATTTTGGGGGATGAAAGTCAAGAGCCTCTCCAGCGGCTCGGCTCCAGAGCGGAGTCATATTTATTAATGCACACAAACCACGCAATGCAGTGTTTAAAAGAGGAATTATGAAGGTGCTGAGAAGATGTAATATGTTTACAAGCCCAAGTGTTTGCCGCCAATTTTTAGGAGACATATTAGTGAGACAACAACTAAACCTCAGGTCAGCAGCCAGAGAAGATTAATGAGCTGCTTTGGCCGATGAATAAACACACACCAAGCAACGGTAATACTTGTGATTTACAGTGCAATTCTGTTGTATGATGAGGTGCTAATAAAACACTTTCTGGTTCCTCTTGGTGCTTTAATGTAGCTGCAGTGAAGGAAAATAAGATTATATGGGGGAACAAGTGAGGAATAGTTATATAGGAAATGAGATTTTTTTTGTTTTTTTGTAAATACTGTGCACAGTTCTGGGAAACGTAAGTGGAATTTAATGGTTTTAATCAGCACTGAAATCCTGCAGAAGCTGTAAAGTCATACATTTCAGTGCAGTGTATGTGCTCGTGTTTAACCTGTTAAATCCCTTATAATACATGGCTGTGCTGTATAAATGATTGACGAGACTTGAGCTTCACATCCCAAAACAACATAGCTCTCCAGCAACCCTTGTGAGTGGAACATAACCCATATATTTTCTATGTTCTTCAATAATCTATAAGCTCTGAGAGATGTTCCTGGAGCTTGTTTTGTTACCTTGGAGTACGCCCAGCGTTTTTAGTGGCATATCGTAACTGTGAAATGCATGACACCATAACTACTTTATTTTTTAAGTTCTGCAAAATATCAGAGCTTTTCACTTTAGTTTTGTTTCTCAATATTGTTCCTTGTTGGTTCCCTTTGTTTGGAGTCATTTCTTCCTCCCTTGTTCCTCGTAGTCTAATGTCTAGATTCACCGGTACGAACCAGTGAGGATTTTATTGGTACCTTTTTCATAAAAAACATAATTACACTGTAAATCATTGGCTGTGTTATAAAGTGTTACTGTTTCGTCCTTTACATGAGTTGTAATAAATATTTTCTCTTGAGGTATTGTGAATTATCTTCATCTCAACTGAAGAAAGAACCAGGCCTTAATTTCTAATTAAACTGTGGCGTTCGTAGTCAGAGAAACTCAACACTTCCCCCATCTGTTTCACATTAAAAGCCTCCCAGTGGTTTGAGTGGGTAGGATCCTTTCCTTCCCCGTGAAGGCTTTTATTGTGAAACATCGGTTATCAGCTGGGAAAGAACAAAAGCAGAATTTTGAAATTGAAAGTATTTTATCTCCTCGGGCTCCATTTATTTATATTTAAGGACCAGAACCAGTCAGTATTTTTTATTAGGTACCTGATTCATACAATGAGAGTTTAGAGAGTAGAAATACATAGAAATGAGAAATTAGTATTTCAATTTTATGCTACTTTATACTTCTACTTAAACATTTACTGTATTGATCTGACAGCTACAATATACTTTTACTTTTAAAAAAAAATTGGTAATCCTATAAAATATAACACATTTTATTAAGATTAAAATGGTGGTTCCAACCTTTTTTTTTCCCATGTCATGTTTCAGATTCCCTCTGTAAATGATTTTAAAAGATTTATCTGTTGACTCTTTTACGGGTCCCGACCCCTCGATACAGAACCACTGGACGATATATATATATATATATATATATTGAGTCATTTCACCATTTCACCGTTAAATGGTGAAATGACTCAATAATGAGAGAATCTCAATCAGTCCTAGAAGTACTTTTACTTTTAATACTTGCTGATAGTTCTTCTGTACTTTTATCAAAGTAGTGAGTACTTCAGTTTTCAGGTGTGTCTACTTTACTTGAGTATTTCCAGTTTTACTGCACCTCATTCTGATGATTAAAGTTTGAATTTAAGATCATGTGATCATTTTATAAAATAAAATATGATGGTTTTGTTCAGATTAAACGGTCCAACACTATATAAAGTATTTATTTAGAGTAGCTCCACTTCAGGAAATGCCGCATTTATTCATCATTAGTAATAATCCGATAATATAATAAATAATAATCAAGAACCACAAACAGGGGGTGCTGTGCTGCATAATTAATGGTTTTTATTTTTGCTAATTTACGTACACGTAGCTGAAGATACTTAAAACTTAAATAATACTTTGAGTGCAGGACTTTAACTTATAATGAAGTACTTTTACAGTATCACATTGGTACTTTTACTTTTTCCTCCACTGTCTGCCAGTCTGAAATCCACCTTAATAACAGCTGACGTCGCTCCTTTTGTTTCCCACCGGTCTCTCTGTTTATTCTGACCTTGAGATTTCACACAATCAAAACAAATGTGACCTGCGAAACAAAGTGGAGCAGAGAGCGCACGAGCCTGGACTCATTACTGCTCATTCTCACAGGCTCTCACAAAGCCCGATCCCAGTGCTTCAGTCGAGGCCTGCCACTACATGAATGTCAGGCTGGAGCCTCATGGTGGGAGAGGAGGGGAGAGGAGAGGAGGAGGGTTGGGGGGGGGTGAGTTCAGCTCAGCTTTGTGGAAGTTTAAACAGACACGTGCTTCCTCCCCCCACTGGAGACTCGTGGTAACTGCAGTTTATGCCTCCTCTCACCAGGATACATGTGTCCTGTGCGTGATCACGTTTTTCTACCAAATCAGCCGACCTCGCTGGTGATAAATCCTATGCATTAATAAACTCTCCATCATGTCCTTATATCTGCATAAACCATTTATTAAAAGTTCATCCGCTGCTTATAAATAGGGGGAATTTAAGTGCATATATATCAAAGAAAAGTTTGGTCCTGAATCATGAGTTTTATCTTGTTTATCTAGAAACAAAGATCTCTGTTTGCTTAATTAAGAGCTGCCTCTCTTCCTCTGGCCACTGAGGTCAAACATTCAGTTGGAAAACCGACTGCATGAAGAGGAAACTGAGTCCAATTTTTTTTCGTACTGTCCAAATTATGATTAAAGAGATAATTTCACATGAAACAGCTCAACAAAACAGACAAGGGGAAAACTGTGATTTAACTGTGAGGCGTTTAAGTTTGCTGACAGCATCAGAAACGAGGATAAAAGGTTTTTTATTTAATGAGTATTTACTCTGATTTTATCTGTGATTTATGAGTTGTGTTGTAGACGCTGATGGTCTGAGGGTTTGATTTAAGTTTATCACCAGTTTTTGGACTTTTCTCTGTTGTTTGGAAGTCTGACTGACCCGCTACTGGAGTCAGAGGGCGACAGGAAGTTTATTAGTAGCTTTATTAGTATCATGGGTAGATTACTGAATGGGCCAACGGCACAGAAGTCCAGGCTCCTCGGACCAAAACCTCTGTGTGAAGTAACGTCTAACATTTTTTGTTGGAGAGTCAACATATAGAAGATAAGTGCAAACTGCAGACAGCTGGATATTATACGCAATTATTTTCTCCTTCACGTCAACAAACACCAGAGCGTCTGAATCACATATGAGTCAAATTACATAAAAATACATGCTGTCGTATAAGATGTGTAATTTTGACGCATCTTTCATGTTTGTTTTAATTTGTGTCTCCAGAGCAATCTGTACTGTTTTTCTTTTCAGTTCTTACTGTTTTGTCAGTTCGTGTTGTTTTGTAAAATATAGTTTAATAATAATTTTTTTGAAATCCCTCTGCTCAGGTGGAGAGCTAGCAGCTAACGTTAGCAGCTCACCTGTTCAGCGAGATGACTCCTTCTGCAGCGCTTTCACAAGACAGATTGTTTAATAACCTATCTGTTGATTATCTATACATGACAAATAGCAGCTATTTTCTGATATTCTTTTCATATTAGAATATTTAAAGTTGTTTATTTGGCTTTAATTTACTCTACTAGACTATTAATAATGTACATGTTTATTACTGACAATATTCAACAACCAGAACGACAAGAATCATGGAAAAATGAATGATTAAAGTGACCAATAACTTTCTTAATATAGTTAAAAGTTCGACTTGAAAAACATGAAAACCTCCTTTAAAATCTGCTTCAACTTTTTACTTTCAGAAATGAAATGAGGACGCACTAAGTAACTTTAAGATGTACAGAGTTCAGCCCCTAAGAGACCAGAGTGAAGCTGGTCCTCAGTCCGCACTTACACTCATGTTTAGAAGTGACTATAAAAGGTATTCAAAGGTCCAAGTCCCCAAACATCATCTCAGCTTGCAGTCTGAAACTCAACTTTTACACACATTATTACATAAAACATGGATTTCATAGGTCAGGCTTTCACAATAACATTTCTGATGCTCAACGGATAAACTGAGAAAAGAAAACACTGTCATACTAAATGAGACATGACTCTAGATTTAAAGATTAATGTGATTCATTCTCTAACGTAATAATAAAATATTTACTTACTCTGATCTAGATACAGTGAAAATGCCTCATTTTACTTTAGTAGGATTTGTATTCAGTACTTCTACTTGTAATGGAGTATTTTTATAATGTGGTGCTGGTAGTTTTACTTGAATTGAGGATGTGAGTACTTCTTCTTCCACTGCAAATTACATTCATTCCGGTAATGGGCAGAGTCTGGCACTTGTGGTGTGCGCCTACTTCAGGGTTGGTTGTGGTTTGTTTGATTTGGGACACCACCAGGTCTTTGCCAGAGTGATATCAATAACAACAGCATAAGAAAAGTAAACTGGGGAACAAAGAAACTTAAGAAACTTTTCGTACCTGTGAGAGTTTTCGGAGGTCATGTGAACAGGAAACGGTGCGTGCAGGGAAGAACCGGAGCAGAAGTACTTCAAAAATGTACTTAATTACTTTCCATCACTGCTAATGCAATTACTTAGCCTCCAGTACACGTGTGTTTTAATGTTGTTCAACCAGATAAAACTCCTGAGTGAAAACAAAGGGCTGCCTCTTAACAGACTAATATCGAAAAGGTAACAGATTAATCTCCACAACAACTAATCCTCCATTGTCTCACTGCTCATCATGACTCAGCGCCAGTGTTTGCTAAAATTAGACAATGTATGACATTTAATATTGGTAATGAAATGTCAAACCAACATCGGCGCATTGGAGCAGAAAACTGTGTGTAAATCAGTGTGTGACACCGAAGTTAAAGTACAAGTTTTCACCCTGTTTTTACACCTTAATCTGATTGGATAATGACAGTCCAATCGCAAAGCAGAGTCGCAGTCAGAGGGCAGGTGGTTCTCATTGCCTTTATTTCCACCGCAGGTCCTGAAAGATGTAGTGATTTTCAAGCCCATGTCGTCGTCCATCTTGAACTTGTACTACACTGCTAGGCCTACTAGTGGGGCCGAGTTCACCAAGTGTTTTCCAAAAACAACCAAGAGTTTTCTGCCAGAGAAAAACCCTATGTGGACTTTATGTTAAATCAATTAACTTTATTTATTGAAAGAAGAGCACCTATGTCCTTTTTAACAGCCACAACAGTGTAATGTTGATAAATTCATTTAGTATATTTTTAACATTTTGAGTGGAAAATTAAGTTAAGGAAACTTGGATATGAATGTTTTCTTTTTATTGTGCCAACATGTAAGTGAAATCATGGCAAAGTATTTTTTATAGAAGTCCTTCATTGGAGTTTTTGATGGTCATTGTATTAGACTGTTCTTTTTACTTTAAATGTGACTCTTCCTTTGCACAGTTTAATGTTCGTTTGTGCCTCTTTCTGGCACCTGCACAGGTATGCATATGTTTTTGTTTTTTTTACATTTACACTATTTACACTTTTTTTTTTTTTTTTACAGGGCATGTAAATCAGATGTTCTCGGGAAATTCAGAAAATTCAACTTCTAAAACTGTAAACAGTGAATGGCTAGTCTGTTTTAAATAGGTAAATATCAATGCTTATCAGTGGTTTAAAAAGTTTGCATGATTGAGCAAATAGTTCACAAATACTACCACGTTGTCTCAGCAAACTATGTATGTGAGATATTCCCACTCAATATGACATAAAACTCTGTTATTGAAACAAATTATTTTATCATTCGGTTGAAAGTGTTGTGTTAAACTGACAGAAATCTCCGGTCAGACATGGGTCATGTGACACTTTGTATGTCAGGTGTACTCATAATGTTACTGTACTGAACTGAAAGTTTTGTGTGCAAGCTGTTTCCAGTCGTGTATAGCGTGAGATTCAGCTGAATACTGAAAAATCTTATGTTAATTTGACTTTTTCCAATATATAATGTTGTTTGTACATAAAATAATTAAGTTATTACAGATTTTTATGTGTTGGAAAGTAACTAAGTACATTTACTGCAGGTACTGTACTTTTTTTTGGAGATACATTATTGAAGTATTTCAATTTTCTGCTGCTGTTTAGTGACACAAAATAAATAAATCATAATGTATTGTAAGATTGAATGACTCCTGATATTATATCCAATGACATTAATGCATCAATAACTATAATCTAAGAATATAATATATATTTTTCTAAAAAGGGCCATTTAAAAAAATTAGTACTTTTACTTCATTGGTACTTTTATTTAAGTAGAATTTTGAGTTGCAGTTTACTCATGCACTGGACTTTTTTACAATTTTGAGGTACTTGTACTGAGTGTTTTCATTCTCTACTACTTTGAATTTCTAGTCCACATTCTGTACTTTTCATTACACTTTATTTATCTACCAACTTTTGTTACTGTGCAGATTCACATTAATTATACAAAACATAATTAAAACATATTTATATTTTGCAGTATAATAGGTTAATATGAGAACCAGCAGTATATAAAATAATTAAAATTAGCCCCACCTTCACCAACTGGAAATTAAAGTGGTAAAACACATTAATGCATAGCACAAGTCTGCAATATAAGTAAGGCTGCTTTTATTTTGGTAGTTTAAGTGTATTTTAATGCTAGTACTTTTACTGCAGGACTTTAACAGAGTACTTCCACACAGTGGTATTACCACTTTTACTAAAGTAAAAGATCTAAGTTGTACTTCTTCCACCTTCTGCTCGTAGCTAAACCCCGCCCTCGTATTCCGTTTCAGTCGGAAATACGTCACATTACTGAAGCTAAAGATGCTCCAACTGCCGTTTCTCTGTGACTTTAGCATTAAGTTGGACTCTGTGGCAAACTTTGGCCACACCTAGATCCTGTCCCATTTCCACTTACAAAAAAAAAAAAAAAAAAAAAAAAAAAAAAAAAAAAGACAGGCTTTTATTTTTTCTATCTGGTGCGTTTGTTTGTGTGTCGGCGAGTCCCGGCGGTGTAACCGGAGAGGGGCCTCAGAGAGGGAATGCAGGACTGCAATGGAGCACAATGCAATACAGGTAAAGCCGATATAATTTCCAAATAAATGTCGTTTTCTGACACTTTGACGCGGCGGTTTTTCGGACCTGTTGACGGGTGAAATATTTTAACCGTATGTCGCCGCGAACCGGAGCCGGATTTCGCGTTTTATTTCATTTAGTTTGACCATGTCGTATTGATTGTTTTCCCATATCAACCAAACCCAAGCACGGAGAGTTGCTCTGACTGCAATTACAACTTTATTCAACCAGGGCTCAACTTTTTTTTCCCCTCCTTCTCCTCCAGAGGTGGAAAATAAAACGCAGATATTTGTATTTTTCGTGGGGGGAAACGATCGGCGGTGACACCGAGCTGTCGCCTCGTTTGTTACCGGAGACTCAGCCGTTAAATTCCAGTTTAATATTTCTGATATTTTCGGCGGTGTTAATGATTAATTTCTTTGTGTGTCGTGTCGACAGTCTCAGCTTCTCCTCCGGCTACCAACCCCCACCCGCCACTAACAGCCACATTATGGCTAAATAAAATTAAATTTCTGGCCGTTTGCCTGCCTGAAAATATCAGGAAACTTTTCAGCTGCTCCACATTTTCAACAACAACAAAAAAAAAGAGCTACATCGACATTTTTCATTTGACTGCACTGAATTTAATTTCAACACCGACGTGATATTGAACACTGAAATTTTTTTTTTTTTTTTTCGACAGGGACTAGGTGGAGCAGCAGTAGTGTTGCTTTTATAGGAAGCATATTGATATTATTATCAAATACACCCCCCACCACCACCACCACCTCTCCACCCCAACCCCCCCCCCCCCTCGACATTTTGTCTCCGGCGTAATTGCCACAGTTTAAGGAGGAATGTTAATATTGTGTGTGTGTGTTTGAAGGGTAAATGTGGAGTTTTTGTACTTGAAATAGCGAGGATTAGTCCTGCCTTAAAACCCAGGAAACATCCAGAGGACACACACACACACAACATATACACAACATATACACACACACACACACACACACACACACAGAGCCAGGGCAGTGTGTGCTTTTTAGTCGAAATAGAAACGAACAAAGTCATTTATTTTGATAGAAATCCTCCATGTGTGGCTCGGGGGATATTTAATATTCCAGAGGTGGTTGTATATTTTTTATAATATCTCTGTTTAAATATTAATTTATTGCAGCATTAATGTTTTTTTTTTTCTTTCTTTTTTTTTGTTTCTCCCAGTGGTGAACTTGTGAGTTTTTTTTTTTTGTTTTTTTTTTTGAATAACAGGATATACCCAAGGTCAATACTGTAGCAGTGTTTGGAATTTATTTATTTATTTATTGTCCAAAAGCAGTAGACATTTTATTATTAATATTCGTCGGAGGGTTTCTCTCTCTCTCTCTCTCTCTCTCTCTCTCTCTCTCTCTCTCTCTCTCTTCCTTCCTGTACTGAAAACTGAGTAGAAAAATATCTCACTGCATTATTCCCAGAAATATCACGAGAACTGACGTAGGCAGGGTGCAGATTAAGGGTTTCCATTTTAAATTCTTGTGTGTGTGTGTGTGTGTGTGTGTGTGTGTGTGTGTGTTCACATTTTAGACAGAGGGCTGCCTCTCAGTGCTCAGATTATATTATGTGGCTTTTATTTTCCTGCCTGCTCAGCCCTGCCTCGTTTCCACCACTAGGCTGGAGCACTGCTTCAGCTGGCCCTCCCCCAGGGCCAAAAAAAAAAAAAAAAAGAATCATATACCACTCCTATAGCAGATAATAGTCTGTTTATTATACACTATGCTGACGTGATGGTAGTATTTATCAAATATTCTCACTGTAATTAGGTTAAATATGTGTTTAATTCTCATTCTGGGGCTGAAACTGTGTCTGCTGAGCTTATTTATCTCACTTTGTTGTCGTGTTTTCCTTGTTTTTTCTGCTCTTACACTTACTAATATCTAAACCTAAAAGATTTAATTGATTTTACTCAATGGACACAACATAAATTGGCAACACCTTTATAATTGATTAAACATTTCTAAGCAAAAATGCCCCAAAAAATGGATTAATAGATGGATGGAACATAAATGTGCAACAGTTTTGTCAATAATCAATTTATTTTTCATGCAAAAAATCCAAATTTTCTGGTTCCAGCTTTTCAAGTGTGACCTAAATAGTGAATTTATCTCACTTTGTTCTGGTCCTTTTCCTGCTTACATAACGATAAATACCTAGAGCTCAAATGATTAATCGATCTATAGATAAACAGAAAATACATCGGTAGAAACTTTATAGTGGATTAATCAATATTTAAGCAAAAATGCCCAAATTCTCTGGTTCCATCTTGTCAAATGTGAGAAAAATAGTGAATTTATATCACTTTGTTGTCTTTGGTTTTCCTGATCATCTACCTATAGTTATGTAAAACTCAAAAGGATTCATTGATTACTCAGTGGAAGCAACATATATTGCCAATAATTCCGATCATCAATGAATCAAAAATGCCCAAAATTGTAGTCCCAGCTTGTCAAATGCTAGCAAAAATAGTGAATTTATCTCAGTCTTTCTGTTCAAATACCTATAGATAACTAAAGCTTAAAGGATCAATAGATTAGTTGATAAACAGAAAGTAAATCTTCACTATTTTATAAATGATTAATCTGATGACTCTCTGGTTTCAGCCTCTGAAACAGGAACATTTCCTGTTTGTCTGTCGTCCTCGAGTGAAAGACAAAACAATCAATTGTATAGATCTTATATATATCTATATATATATATATATCTATATATATATATATATATAGATATATATATGATTGGTTGATAAAGTAATCACCAGATTAATAGGTAATCAAAATAATCATAACTTGCAGCTCAGTTAAATAAAGTTTTAGTTTAATTGTGTTCCTAGTGTAGAAGTAATACTCCTGTAATATACAGTATGTCTAATGTAACTCCAGGGGCCAATAATGTGTCGAGCTCAAAAGTGATTCAGTCTTCTAATGGCTGGTTGTTCGTTCCTCCTTATAGTCTCATATCATATGTGAGTGATGTAATGACACTTAATAACATCTAAAATGTGACACCGGTGTTGCTGCAGGGCCCCCGGTGATCCATACACAGACTTAATCTGACTTCACGGTGTCATCTTGCTGAAGTATTAATATAACGTTAATGTATTTATGATATCCCCGCACCCGTACAGTTCAATATCTAACTTCAAACTCCACTGAAAACTGTTTAATATTCATGTAATGTTACATTCATGGGTGATACTTTGTCCGTACTTTATTGTCTTTTTTTTTTTTCTTGTGGTATCAAGTTTAGTAATCCATAAACACATCTAAAATAATCCCATGGTATTCTGGGAGCGGTTCCCAAGTGATCTGTAGAGACTTCATCTGTCCTTATAAACGAATATATAAATATATAGATAAAAATATCATGTAGTGACTCAATGTTCAGGTTCATCCTGATTTTATATTGCTTTATTTTATTCTTTCTCTTTCTTCTTCCTACTTATAAATGACTGTTTAATCTTCCCATAATGTGAAATTACATTCGATTAAAGCCTAATATTTTGTCAATAACATATCAACGAATCATATTGAGCCTAATAATCATTAAAAAAACATCTGTAATTCTCCTATAACATTCCTATAGTGTCGTATTGAGGATAATGCGATAATTTTCCTCACAGGAGTCAGTGGGGACAAATAAATTACTACAATATTCCTTAAATTAACCTATAATGTACCTAATGTGGATAATACTGTGTCCGCACGGCTCAGTAGTGATTTTACAGTACTTAATTTTATTCTTTCACAACAGTACTTTTAATATTCTTACAGTAATCACTCAGTTCATGGGTGATATTTTAATTACAGTCGTCAATTGTGACTGAAACTTTGTCATAAGTTTAATAATCCTCAATAAGTCCCACAATAACTTTATTGTATTCTTTATACTTTATTTTAATCTTTCATTCACTCTTTTTTCTAACTCTTATACTTATAAATAACTATTTATTGTTGCAGAAGTTGTTCTTTAGTTATCTTAAGTACTCTGTAGTGTATTATTGATGCTTCCTTGTATGTTATTGAGTGTAATAATCCTTGTAAACTTCTATAATATTCCTTTGAGGGCTCACAGTAATGAGTATGTGGTAAAATGTGTTATCATGTGTTACTATAGTATTCCCTGAGCACCCCTGTGATATTCCCATAGGAGCTCAAACTGCCTCCAGGCTGGTGAGTCTTATTCTATATAAACCTGATGTTTTGTTTTGTTTTTTTCTCCTTCTTGTGTGAGAATAATATTCTATATATATATTTACATCAGCTGTGCAACTCAGCAGAATTCATAGTGCGTCGTTTTTACCTCTAAAATGAGAGAAAAATACATCTTTAATATCGCCATGTGGACTTGGAAATGCACCTGTGGGATCAGTGCTGGATTTGAATGATTATTTAATCCTATAGCGTCTTTATGGTTTTCCTGTCGGGACTTGCAGCATGTTTGCGGCACTGATTAATGGCGCTGTCTCACTCTGCTGTTTCTTTTATAATCTCACTATCCGATGGGCTTTATATGATAAAGGTGTATCACAAAGACGTTTATAATTTCAGTTCCTATAGCAGGATACAGAGCAGGTTTGACATTCAACAGTGACCTTGTCTAATTTAGAGTCTAATATTCCTCTAATACAGATATCGTGTTGCCTTCAGGGCTCAGACCGTGTCTCTGTGAGCTTGTCTGGCTTGATGTTGTTTTTCATTAGTGTGTAGTTTTGGTGTCCTATAGTTTCCCCACAGGACCATAAAGTGTGTGTGTGTGTGTGTGTGTGTGTGTGTGAGATACTCCACAGTGACGTCATTAAACATTATGCCGCTGCATTTAATCATATTGTGGCTTTTTTAAATGGCTGGCGTCACCGCTGTTGTTTGACTGTGTGCGTGGCTGATTCGTATATTTTCTGCTGCGATATTTATTCTGTATATGTCTAAAAATTGATCCTAGGCCCTGCTGCAGCTGGTCTGCAGAGCTAC